AATTTTCTTACCTTAGTATCTGTCTGATCTGATAAAGTGAATGATTTTCAAGTGAAACGTTGAGTTTTTATACAAGTCACACCAGGCACCCCAAGCAAGAAACTAAACCTTACAATCCCAAATGCTCCTTCAGGCCTATATTTATTAATTAAACAGCATAGATTAATTAAAAATAATTTTTAATTTGACCTACATATGGAAGGATTTATTTTTATCCACTTGATGTAATGAAATATAATTAAGCTTTTAGGATTGGTCATTCAACTCTGAGGTACATGTACATGGATTTCATTTTAATTAAAAATTTTGAGGAGGATTTCTGAGTATTTAGAATAAATACTTTACATGTATTATTTTATATACAGCGGATTAACAAGTACATTTTGACTCTCAACTGGTATAGGAAAGGTCACTTGGTAAAAAATTGGGAATACAAATTTAAGGGCAATAACTCAAATGCGAGTAGGTAGTAGATAGCATGTTGGGTATAGTAGAAAGTCCCCTCTAACTTTAATATTCATCAGTTTTTGTGGTTCTAGATGAACCACGACGAAAACTATATTTCTAGATGAATTTTGAATATTTAATGACGTAAATCAAAATTATTTCTACTCGCATCTCGTCTATTTCTAATGAGAAAAATTTCATTTTGTAACTGCATGTGCTTATATTTAGATGACTATGCAATATATCATATACCTGATTTATTAATACTAGGTAGAATGGATAGAGAGTAAAGTTTTAGAAACAATCTTTTCAAAAAGATGCTAATGTTTCCCTTACAATTCTAACTTTATTTTCAGAATAAATAATGAAGATCTCTGATCAAATATGGAAATTATTGAAAAAGGTGCAAAAATGTTCATGAGAAAAAGAGGGTGTCCAATATGATTTACCAGATAACTAAAAATCAGAGGATTATCCTGAAATAAAGTCAAAAGTGTTTAACCTCTAGGAAATATGCATGACATGGTTAGTGCTCAGATGGTGAAAAATTGCATGCTTTTGAAAGAGTTTTTTGCTAGGGGGGGGGGGGGGGGGCAATAGCTCGAAACCATCGAACCCCCTCAGTAAAATTAAAAATTGATTTACCAACAAACCAGACTTTACACTTTTTCCAGCAGGTGTTTTTAATATCCCTTTGATAACAATATCATTTGCTGCAGAGAATGTGATATAGAGGAAATATAGTATCTATCGAGTAATGATGATAACTATTTAAGAAGTTGAAACAAATGGATTTCCATTTTTTTAAAGTTTTTATTAGTGTGGTCTTTAGAATTTTTCAATATTTCACCATGTTAATTTGGATAGCTCACTGTGTGCTTTTTAGAGAGAATACAGTAATCATATTTTGCATGCTTATGTCTTGTCTTCTACATCCTTAGCATAGTACAGCTGCTCAATTGGCAGAATAGTTGCTTAGTTCAAAGGTGCAGTGCGTTTCTGCAATTTTCCTATTCTGAAGATTTAGCTAGAATAGTTAGTTAAGTTAAACACTTAGAATTACCATTTTAAGTCTGAACTTCACCAAAAAGGTGGCGTATTAATGCATTTCAGTCCCTCTTGGCAATATACACAGTGAGATATGCCGAGTACTAAAAGAGCACTTATGACATGAGTACTGATTTATCGCATGTTTTAGTACTTAATGAGTACTCATTTGATGAGTAATAAAATAGCAGTAATATCATTGATTTTTAGTGCTAAATTGGTATTTATATCATAAGTATTATTATTATTAAATTTATTTCAATAGAATACAAAAAATGTAAATACACAGACATGTAAATTCTTAAATCGCCACAATGGCATTATATAAGAATAGGGGGCAGGTGGAAGTAGAAGTGGCAGAGCAGGCAGGGTCTTGGACTAGGGCAAGTGTGACGGGACATGAGGATACTAGAGATGGATAAGAAGGAGGGAATTAGCTATTGTCTTTGATAAAATTAACAATGAGAAGTAGTATTTGGGAATTTGCATCTATGTTTAATTTGGGAATTCCTGTTTTCAAAATAGCTATGAAATCAGTTTGAGAGAGATTATGACTGAAGATGTTTGGTTCGAGATCAGTGAGTTTGTCCATGAATTGCTGTCTTTGTATAGTAAGTGATTCACATTGAAAGAGAAAATGTTTCAGAGTTTGTGGTTTTCCACAAGTGCAATTAGGGCTGTCAATAGACTGAAAGTTGTGAGCGTAGAACTGGGCTTTAAAGTATAGGTCAGCTCTCACTTTATTGAGAACTATTTCTTGAACCCTTGTTAGATTAAGCTGGCTTGTTGACAAAATCGAGGGAGTTTTTTGGAAGTGTACTCTTTGGTGTTTTTTAAAATTCGAAAGAGTATTCTTAGATTTAATAGCAGGTGGAAGATTGATCCAATTTGAAATTGCAGCTGGTTTTGCTGAGGTGGAGAATCTATTTGAACATCTAATGGGCATTTTAAATGCTTCATTATATCTCAATACTCTGTTTGCATGGTTTCTAAATTTGTCAAAAATATCAGTTACATAGGGAGGACTTGTACCATTTACAATTTTGAACATAAAGTTGTTAATCTGGATACTGCGTCTTGATTCAAGAGTGGCCAATTGAGTAGGTTTAAAACCTTTTTTGAACTGCTCCCTTGGATACACCCAGAACAATAAAGTGCAGCTTTATAATAAAGACTGTCGAGTCGTTGTAATAGGAACTTTGAGGCTGTGCTGTACGTGATAGCACCATAGACAAAATGGGGTAAAATAAATGACTTAAATATGGTTTCTAGATGCTTACTACCTAACTTATATTTAAGTTTCTTTAAAGGGTTCAACATTTTTCGTATTTTTGATATGATTTCTCCAATATGCTTGTCATATGATAAGCTTGGGTCAAAAGTAAATCCCAGATGTTTGTGCTCGTGATCTCTGGTAATTTCAACATTATTTAACATTGAGACAGAAACATTATCGACTATAGATCTGGATGAGTGGAATATCATTTCAGAACTCTTTTCAGGTTTAAACTCCAATTTCCAGGTGTCAGACCATTTTTCAATTTTAATTAGGTTAGATCTGGCTATTGCATCTACTTCTTGTGGATGCTTAGGGTCAAAAGGATGATGTAGAGAAGTGTCATCCGCATAAATATAGCAATGCCCCTCCAGATTGTCTGGAAGGTCATTAATGTATAGGAGAAATAATATTGGCCCAAGTATTGAGCCCTGGGGGACACCACAATTGATAAAGTCATTTTCAGAATAATTTGAAAGTTCCCCAGATATCTGTACAGCAATTTTTCTGTTAGTAAGGTAAGATTTGATAATTTTTTGAATTTGCCCTTGGAAGCCATATGCTGAAAGTTTATGAAGTAGTAGCTTATATGGTACTCTGTCAAATGCAGCCGCTATATCTAGAAAAATTGTTTTGGAAGCTTTTCCTTGTTCAAATGTGCTCTGAAGAAAATGTTCAATCGATAAAAGTTGATGAATAGTACTATGACCTGGTAAGAAACCGGACTGATGTTTGAAAAGAAGATTATTGTCAATTAAATGCTTTCTGATTCGATCAGCTAAAACTTTTTCAAATACTTTAGAGATACAGCTTAAAAGAGTGATAGGTCTATAATTGTTGATGTTTGATTTGTCATTCTTCTTAAAAATTGGGCAAACATTTCCAATTTGCCAGGTACACTTTGATAAAAGTTTGTTGAATAAGTTGGCTAAAGGTTTTGAAATGGTATGGGCTGTCAAATTCAACATTTTGTTGGTGATGTTATCTGGGCCACATGCCTTTGAGGTGTCTAAGGACAAAATTATTTTCATTACCTCGAATTGATCGGTCTGGGCGGAAATGAGTAGAGAATTAGTCCTAATTGGGAAATGGGGCAATTGATCAAAAGTTGCATCAGTATGATTTTTTGAGGCAAAGAAACTCATAAATCGGTTAGCTATATCAAGGTTGTTAGATAAGTCGTGTCCAGAGACATCATCATAGATACTAGAAATATCATTTTTGTGTAAATTGTTACCAAGGAATGATTTAATTAACCTCCAATAGTTTTTATCAGATTTATTGAGTTGGTCAATTGATGAGATAGTTTTGAGTTCATGTGCCTCTTTGGCCTGTTCAATTAGTTCGGAAACTTTAGAAGCTTGTTGATTATAATTGAATTTGTTAACTTGATTAGGAGCTTTTGAAAATTTCTTATATAAAACTTTCTTTTTTGATATTTCACGTTTAAGATTATCATTGAACCATGGCTGGTCATTTGACCCTACAGTGATAATTTTATTTGGAATAAAGTGAATAAGTGATAAAACAGTACTCATAAAATTGATTTTTCAGCACTAAATGAGTACTCATATCATGAATAAGTACTAAATTACCACTCGTGGCATGAATGCTCATGAGTGCACTTTTGCCAGAGTGCTAATTTAGTCCTAATTTTGTATTAATTGAGTAATCGGCATATCTCCCTGTGTAGTGAACGAATTTGGCTCAAATTGTAAATGCTGATGCCTGGGGACACAGTAGCTCTGTTCGAGAATTTTTAAAATGGCGGCTGAATTTCAAAATGGCTGCCATTTTTCGTAAAAAAATCCGTTATCTTTGAGAACTTGAATGCCAGTGTACGGATTTGGTTAAAATTTTATATGCCGATGCCAAGGGATGCAGCAGGTCTGTTGAAAAAATAATTTTCAAATGGCTGCCATTTTTCATAAAAGAACGTAATCTTTGATAAATCAAATGCCAATTGATGGATTTCGTTCAAATTTTATATGTAGATGTCAAGGGACAAAGGAGACACAATCTTTGATAACTCAAATACAAGAGGGAGAATATGTACATTTTATATGTTTTATATCATTTCACATAAGACTCAAACAATGACAAACATGATTAACGATAAATATTTTACATTTTGATCAAGCCATAGCAAACTTAAACCATTTCTTTTTATTTAGTTTTTATTCCAAAAATATAACATATGAACATGGAATACAATATATACATATATATATAGAATATTTCTACTTCTTATTTTGCCGAATGTGCAAAAACCTACAACAAATATCCCCAATATGTTCCTAATGTTTCTAACCTTTTGGCAATCAAAAATAAGATGCAAGTTAAAATTATATTTCTTTTCCATTTACTTATTATGTGCTAACAGTATAAACAATCACGATTTACATTTTACACCTAAAGGTTTGATTATATTTATAAAAAAGTTCATTTTCTGCAATGTTTCAAACATAAGGTTTAAACCGTCAAAATCCTTGTTGAAGTATCCAATCAAATGTACCAAAAACCTTGCATTATTTCCTATGAATTTTACCCCAATATAATTATTTGATTTTTCCAACTAGTCATGGTCATTTCAATTCATAGTCATAGTTACTCAAACTTGTACGAGATCTTCAGTTTTACTGAAACATGTAGGTGTCATTTTCATTCCATTTTTAAAGTCAGGTGTAAGGCAATCTTTAACCACGACCTTTATTATTTTGAAGTTTTTGTTTAGTGCCTTTGCTCTGATAAAATAACCTATATTATAATATGAAAAATTCACTTAATTTAGTTTCTTTCTACCATTTCTTGTTTTTGCTAGTGTCAACACACATTTGTAGGGTATCTATTTCGTTTTCCAGTATCCTCTGAATGTTTCATTTTAGTAATAAATGTAATATCCTTTAATACACATCTGTGAGCAGCTTTCAATATTTGCAGCTTCGATTCCTTGCAACTCCGAGCAAGGAACAGTGACTAACTCTTAGTGTAATGATAGTTACATCCGCTCATTGGTCTATTATTGATTGCGTGACCCCTAATTTCAATTCCCCTTCGCATTTTATATCAAGTTCTCTTGATTTTCATAATGAAAACATAGTTTGAGCTTCATCCATTAGGTCCACCATATCCGACGTATAAACTGTGTAACTATAATGATTCATTAAGACAGGGAAGTAAAAAAGTGGTTGAAGATCACTGGATATTTCCCAAGTTATCTGAAAATCAAAATGTTTCTGGTTTAACTGTACATCATATCATGGAGGTAATAAGGGGTAATTTGGGTCCTGGCTATGTGACCCTACTATCACACCAAACTAGTTCTCACTACGTTCTAAGCTTCAACTGTGTACGAACGGACTGGACCTACTAAGAACCGTTTGGGATCTATTTACAAACTTCATCGAACGTACCCGAACGGGTAGGTCCTCTAGAACGTAGACAATGCTCAAAATGTTCTCGTGGCCGTCACGTTCTACAATTAGAACGAGTGACAACGTACTAACGACGAGCTGGACGTACTACGAACGGAACCGTCGTACTTCAATCCTACTATTAGGGACGTTTGAACAACGAGTTGAACTGTCTGAGGACGTGTTGAGAACGAGGTAGAACTAATTGCAAACGGGTTTAAACTGATTAAGAACGTATTTAACACTGCTTATTAACGAGTTAGCAAAAATATAGCTATCACACCAAACAAGTTGCCACTGCGTTCTTCAAAACTGGTTTTAGACTGTGTGCGAACGGAATGAACGTAGCTGCAACTTTCTAAGGTCTATTTACGAACTTTATGAAGGTTCTCAGACGGGAATGTGATTTTAGAATTTTGAATCGATTCAAAATTCGATGGCGACCATACCGTTCTGTAATCAGGTCATGTTGACCTTCTAGACTAAGGGACGCGTTCTACGACGTTGCACACCGACGTGGTGCGACCTGAACGAACTGCGAACGAGATGGACGTATTGAAGACTGTTTAAGAACGAAGAAGCCAATTATTTCAGACATATTTCCCGACCACAGCCAGATTGAGCCCGTTTTACGACGTTTTCGTAGGACTGGCAAGAACGGGTAAGAACTAGTTTGGTGTGATAGGGGGGGGGGTTATCAATTACTCCTTTGTATAGACCAGGTCTAATACATTGTATAGATTAAGTGACATTCTTGACAATAATTCAAAATATATGATAACATACCTCAATAAAGGGAAATCCTGATTTCTTCCCTCCAAGCTTTGCGAAATAGGATGCTGAGTGCAGTTGTGCCTTGTAGGCGCCATACCTTACGGCATCCCTATCTAACATCATTCCCGCTTTTCCCATTCTGTCAGTTAGGCTAAAAATTCATAATTTTCAGTTTCAAACTCTGACAGAACTATCAACTGGTGTTATCGCTAGTGATGATTCAAGTTTTTTTCTGTGAAAATTTCACGAATAAAATAGAGAATTGAAAAAGAGAGAGCTGACTTATCCCGTCACTATGAAGTTTGATGAATTTTAGAAAATATATTTACAAAGAATGGTACGAGCAGAAAATATTGAAGAGGTCTAATTCTGCCTTAATACAGGGTGAGCCAAATTGACTAATGTTACATTTTAAGATTTACCTCGTATGGATAGGAGTCCAACCACTCATCTGATGGTTATAGTAAATGGACATTGTCATATTATGAGCTGGTCTACCGATTGACGTATCTGTCACCGTTGCCAATATTGTAATCTTTTGAAATGTCATATCTGGTCCATCGTCAAAAGCGGGAGTGTTTACGATAGTTGTTGGTGCTATTGTTGAAATTGTTGGGTCTATAATCATAGCATTCAATTAAAACACATAGCAGTTTCATAAACATTTGGGTTTTATACGTCACTGCTTTTGGGAGGAACGTACTAAAAAGGTTTTATTGGCTAATTGAATAAATTATTTCACTTCTGACACAAAAATAAAAATTTAACTATTTGTAACCATTTCAAATTAGTTTTTGTTCTTTAAGAAAGAGATCCGTCTACTGTACTCCACTGAGCGCAAGGTATTTAACTCTGACCCTATGGAAACTGAAATAAGATTAATACCCTACACTTAATACACTTACCATCAATTCTTTCGTAATAGTCGATTAAGGGATGGTACTGCGGAGCAAATGGAGCGTCGGGATCATTGTGATTTGAGTTTGACAGCATACACTCGCTTGTCTCTTCCACATAGTCCGCCGACTTGCAATAGAATTCGGCATATTGGACGCACGCTTGGAGGCATTCCAAACGTGTCATGTTAAACAATTTGACGTCGTTGTTCCCCGGCAGATATGACTTGGGGAAATGTATCCAGAATCCACCACCACTTTCAATATATGGTTTTCGTGTGCCTTCCTCTGAAACATGAATTAGCTGAATAAATCTAATGTTAAGTTTGAATTAGAAATAGTGAGTGACTTTAACTAATGTAAGATAGCAAGAAATCAAAACAAAAATGTGTCGTCATAGTAAATGGAAATGCCACAAATGATTCAGAAATAAAAATACAATGCGTATAATATACACAGAAAATAATGTATAATGTACACAGAAAATCTTACCTCCATAGGACGTGTATCCTTCTCCAAACACAAGCATCAAATCATCAATTGCAACATCACCTTTCCAACTCTTCCCACGTGTCACCTCAAATATGATGTCAAAATCTCTTTTGGCAACCTGAACAGGAATATCAATTTCAGCATATCTCCATTCTGAGTTTTCTTGGGGACCTGAAATAGACATCAAATAAGTTTCCCCGACAAATGTTGAAAATATGAAGACCTGAATATGATCTGAACATCATCTAAAACTCATTTCAGTGTGCGTTCCTTCACATGTATCCTCTGAACGTAAGGTCCCAGACACATTGAGCTCGTGAATGAAGTTTTGAATGATACATGCTTTAATAAAATGCTTTACCTAATATTTCAAACATCGAAACAACTTCATTATCACAGGATCTGGTCATTACATTGAAAGCTCCGATATCAGTTCCGTAGGCATGGTAGAAAAACATCAGTTTTCCATTCTCTGTTATGTCATTATGTACCTTCACGCTTAACCTTGCTTTTGCTTGGTCGCTATACTTTACTGGAGGGGAGACATCCGTGTATAAGTAGTAACCTAGAAATAAGGAATGACTGTTAAGTCTAGGGGAATGCAATGGTGTACAAGTCAAAATAAGCTAGATTATCTTATTTCCAAAAATGTCGCGTGGAATAAAATACATCAGATCCGGAAAATAGTTTACCCCCCTATCACACCAAAGAAGTTCTTACCCGTTCTTGCCAGTCCTACGAAAAAGTCGTAAAACGGGCTCAATCTGGCTGTGATCGGGAAATATGTCTAAAATAATTAGCTACTTCGTTCTTAAACAGTCTTCAATTCGTCCATCTCATTCGCAGTTCGTTCAGGTCGCACCAGGTCGGTGTGCAACGTCGTATAACGCGTCCCTTAGTCTAGAAGGTCATCGTGACCTGATTACAGAACGGTATGGTCGCCATCGAATTTTGAATCGATTCAAAATTCTAAAATCATCTTCCCGTCTGAGAACGTTCATGAAGTTTGTAAATAGACCTTAGAAAGTTGCAGCTACGTTCATTCCGTTCGCACACAGTTTAAAACCAGTTTTGAAGAACGCAGTGGCAACTTGTTTGGTGTGATAGCTATATTTTCGCTAACTCGTTCATAAGCAGTCTTAAATACGTTCTTAATCAGTTTAAACCCGTTTGCAATTAGTTCTACCTCGTTCTCAATACGTCCTCAGACAGTTCAACTTGTTGTTAAAACGTCCCTAGTAGGATTGAAGTACGACGGTTCCGTTTGTAGTACGTCCAGCTCGTCGTTAGTACGTTGTTACTCGTTCTAATTGTAGAACGTATCGACCACGAGAACATTTTGAGCATGTTCTAAGTTCTAGGGGACCTACCCGTTCCAGTACGTTCGATGAAGTTTGCAAATAGACTCAAAACGGTTCTAGGTACGTCCAGTCCGTTCGTACACAGTTGAAACCCGTTTTCGAGAACGTAGTGAAAACTAGTTTGGTGTGATAGTAGGGTAAGGAAAACTAATGATTATCGTAGAATTGCATTGCAAATACCATTCCAGCCATACTGCTTATGAACTTGTATGAACTTGTCTCAACTCTGGAGAACTTAATTATGACTTGACAGATGTTTGATTTACCGTTTCCAGAGGTATGGTCACCACTGGGTCCTGTGCCTTTTGTCAGTGTCTCTCCAAGATGTCTTTTCCATGTAAACCCGTAGCTGTTGAACTGAATATTGCAGCGGTCGACCTCAAAGTCGCAACTAAATGCTAAGCAAAAATGCAAAGGATTGGTATCGATATGGTGAACTGAATTCAACAATGTTTTTCTCTTTAATCAATCATTGAAAACATTCTGTAAAAAGACACGGTACTTTATGTAATGTTGAATGGTTGACAACAATTTAATGCAAAAATAATTTTTATATATTTTATAAAACTGTTTTTGTTAACATTTTTTGTTTTTAGTGCAATGGTTTTCGTTTCTCTACCCATTCCTGAGAATGAAATGAAATATCTTTCCAAAGCTTGTTGGAACAAAATAGCATAACAACATTTTCTTAGACCTCTCAATATTTAAGTTCTACAAAGGAAGGAGTGGTATCGAAATGGTGAACTTTTTGAACACACGTTTCTCTTTAACCAGTCATTAAAAAATTCTTAAAAGTTTACACATCTTCAATTTAATGGTCATCTTTTTGATGGTAACATTATAATTTTAAATATATATATTATATATATACACATTTATCTATATTGTTTTAGAAAACACATCAGACACTTCTTTTGTTCTTGGTATCATATTTTCGGAATTAAATGAAATGTGTATCTATCCGAACCTCATTGGAACAAAACGACATAAACACAACGTGTTTAGACCTCTCAATATTGTAATTGTACAAAGGAAAGTTTGGTTGATTTTAAAAAAGTATCTTGTTAAAGAGGCTCTATGCCATAGGATACCACAAGAAAGACCCCTCTGGACTTTTTTTGCATATTGAGTTTCACCACATAGATACCCATCTATTTACCAAAGAAGAAGTCCCAAATCTCCCTCTTTCAGCAAAAGTTAATATCAAGATATATCCATGGTATGTGAGATATTATATGAGCAATAACAATAGGACATCATTGATTGTCTGGGGGAGAAACCTGTGGCATAATGCATCTTTAATGAAATAAAAGGTTTATCTTAATTTTTTATCTATTTTGGTTTCGTTTTATTTTTTGCATACTTTTTGTTAAATCAACCAAAATTTCCTTTGTAAACTATAATATTCAGAGGTCTAAGATAATGTTGAATATGCTATTTCGTTCCAGCATGCAAGGCTCGGAAAGACATTTTACTTTATTAGTAAGAATTGATAGAAGGGAACAAAATTTTTTGATGACCGGTTTAAGAGAAACGTGTGTTCAAAAAGTTCACCATATCAATACTCACCCTTTTAAACATAATATCATGGTGTTCTATAATAAAGTCGTCAGCTTGAGTATCTTTGAAAGCGTTGTCTATTACTTTATAGCCCATGGTATTTTGTGGTTGCCCTATTTCCGTAAAATATAACTAGTGTACTACAAACCTTTGACAGCTAGATTTGCTATATAATCTGTGATAACAGTTTCAGAATCCAATTCCAAACAGCGGTAGCGTCCGGCATCTGATGTCTCAATGTTCAGGATATAAAGCCCAGACGTTGGAGCCATGATATATTTATCAGCAACTAATGTAAAGTTCCCTTGAGGTACCTCAGCTAGATCGTTAGAGTCAAATATGACATCATTGAGCACCTCAGTGTCACCTAGTTTTACTATCTTTAGCCGTTTCTGTACTCCCTTGTAATCCGATAGGTGGCAACTCAGTAGTTCGTCTGCTCCGACTGATGTGTCTATGTCATCAGGCTTTGTCAGATTTCCTTCAACATCAGAAGAAGGACTTTCCAACCCAAGTTCACCATCGCCAGATTCACTATCGTCAGATGAAATATCTGAAAAATATTGCAAATTAATATACATGTCTTACAACATTAGTCTTCAACTATATATTCAGTCTATTATACTTCCTGGTTTTGGATTATGCTAATGGTTGTTTTATCATGGGGTGGGAGTATTTTACATTTTCTGGGTTGGATAATGACTTTTGTTTCTTTTCAACATAATTATGATTTCAAAAATACCTGTCTGAATTTCATTTATACCTTTAAAGTTTCCCTCTATGGCAATTATGTTTACACAACATGAAGCAATGTACAGTGCGTATAAAAAAACGCAACAGATTTTTATCTCGGAAAAGCACAAAACCAGTGATAACAGCATTGATTTCATTCAATGTACCATAAAGCCATGTCTCTCCTCTTTCCAATGATATATCATTCGTTAATATTGGGTTATGGTTGGGCGAGTAATCATTCATTTTGCAAAGTGGGCCAAAATTAGCTTGGGACTAATTTATAAACAGCGCGAAAGTCAGTAAGAGCCCGTATGCAATATTGGAAGAAAACATAAAACCAATGATGACTAATTAAATCAATTTTATTCAATGTACCAAAAAGCCAATTTACTCCTCTTTGCATTGGAATGTCATCCATTCACAGGGAGTCATGGCTGGCCGAATTATCATAAAAAATCGAAAAGTGGGGTAAAATTCAGCTCAGACCCAGGTTTTAAACACTGCAAAAGTCAGTACATGGGTCAGGGCAATTGGAAGAAGGTGTGGCAGGTGTGACATAGACAATAAAGTGTTCATACTCACATTCTTACAAGAATACATCCTATACCCCTCCAAATTGCCACCACTTCTTTGCACATAAAGATGCGCTCATCTCACCATGTCATGCATGGTTCAACCCTGAGTCATATGTGGGTTAAAGCGGAAAAAGCAGCCCATTGGTTATTCTTTCTGCTTTTGCAATTCTGTTGGAGGAATGGTGAGCACAGATGCTCCTGAGATAGCTCCAAAAGAAAAAGTCACAACAATTCAAATCAGGAGAACTTCCATTGGCACTTGACCCTTGCACTGATTTTTGCAATATCTGAAACTTGGTCCAGAGCCGATTTTGACACACTGTGCAAATGGAAGGATTTCTCACCCAACCATTACCACATGTGAATGAATGACATATCATTGCAAAGAAGAGGGATGTGGCTTCATGGTAAATTAAATGAAATTGATGTATTCATCACTAGTTTTGTGATTTTACGAGATAACTGCTTGTTGCGTTTTTTGATACGCCCTGTATTAGGTGATAAACCAAATTACCAATAAAAACTGCAATGCTGAATAAGCGCTGGCTCTGTGAGTGTCCAAACGAATAGTTCCTGTACAACAAAGGAGGTTGTCCATTCCCATCATTGTAGTAGTCAAACATCCGGGTCTTGCTTCTGGGATTACTGAAGTCATTGTTTCTGGCAATGACACCAGTTTGACTAAGCTCGGTGAATCCTAAAAGATCTCCCTCTACAACCTGAATACCTCCATCAGTAGATGATGGGTAAACCTACAGGTAAACAAATGCAGTTTACTCCAGAGTTCAGTAAATGTCACATGATTGGACGGTTTGTACCTATTAGTTATGTGCCACATTATCTTAAAGACAATGCATGGGTTCCGAAGGAATTGTTGTGCTCTCACTGGTGTTTTTACCAATGAGAGATCAGCTCATTCGGCCAAAACACTGATTTAAATAATTGGGACTAGTTCACTTATTGTGGATACTATTACAACCATCATTCTCCAGAGGCTACTTGGGTAGTGTTATAACTTTTTCTGTTTTCTCTCTAGCTTTTAATTTTGACCATTCTGCTATAATGAGAAACGCATGCAGATTATAATTAGTAAACCATAAGTAATACTGTTTCTGAGTAGGTTATTGTGAAATCTTACCGTGTGAAGCAAATTAGGCTGTCGCACAGCAACGCTTTCTTCCCCTATAAGGATGTTGCGTTGTCCAGGACCGGAAATTGGTCTCCATATTTGCATGCGAACCTCCAATGGGGTATTTTGGTCAACCACTAGGTTAGTTGCCGATCTGAACTCAAATCTGTTCACGTTACCCGCCAGGAGGGTTGAATATTGAAGTATCCAGGCCTGGTTTGCGGCAATTCCAGTGTTTGGACCGCTGGCACGGGGATTGCCAAACTCAGCAACCATCTCTGCCAGCAGAAAAACATTATCAGGATAGAGACCATATTGATAATAAGCTGGCTAATTTCGTTTTCATATCACGGCTTATGTCGTCATGGTAATTTAGTTATAAAAAAGCTTAACCTTATAAGAATACTAATTCACTTTAGTTTTATCAATGTACAAGCAAGTCTCACCTGGTGTTGATTCGGAGTCATCAGCCACTGGCGGTTGAGTTGCTGGATTTGTTGTGGTTGAAGGCTGAGTTGCTGGTTTTGTTGTGATTGAAGGCTGAGTTGCTGGTTTTGTTGTGGTGGGCGGCTGTGTTGCTGGCTTTGTTGTGGTTGAAGGCTGAGTTGCTGGTTTTGTTGTGGTGGGCGGCTGTGTTGCTGGCTTTGTTGTGGTTGAAGGCTGAGTTGCTGGTTTTGTGGTAGTTGGCGGTTGTGTTGTTGACTGTGTTGTACTTGGCGGTTGTGTTGCTGGCTGTGTTTCGGTTGGTGGTTGTGTTGCTGGTTTTGTTGTGGTGGGCGGCTGTGTTGCTTGGGTGGTGGTCGTAGTAGTGGTAGTTGTTGTACTTGTAGATGTAGTAGTTGCTGAAACAATTTACCATACATTGATATAAAATCGTTGTAATTGACTATTTTGATTCAACAACTAATTATTCATCGTTTGTATTTCATTAGTACTTTTTCTTTTGCAGTAGTCTCAATATAGAATGGCTAGTTTTGTCAATACCTTTTCATTAATATGAGTAATGCGAACCGCATCATAACTTTCATTGGTTTGCTCTTCCAATTATTCCCTTTGTGCATTATTTTGCACTTGGCTTACGTTCTTTATGTTTAATAGATTCTTACTTGGCTCGCTACATGCAGATCTGCTCAATTCAACTGCGACGGTCTGGAGTCCATCAAAGTCGCTCACAATAACTACATATTTACTATTTGGGTTACTTGCAATACCATTTACTTCTTCTAGTTTCAGCTCTGCAGTTCGCACACCGATGCAGTAAATTATTATTCCATCTGCTTTTGCGGCACTTGCAAGTGGAACTGGGTCACCAGTTTTAGCAGCACCATCAGTTATGACAATGGCAACATCTTGTACGCCTTCTCGATTTCCATGAGTTGGTGAACTAAATATTTCTCTCATCATCGATATACCTGCTATGGTGTCTGTTGACCCACCTTCATAAGCTATTTCATTAATGGCAGCTATGACTGCTTCATTTGTGTTGTAGTCATTCAGATCAAATTTCAAGGAGGCACCATCAGAAAATGACAGAGCAGCAACTCGTATAGCATCATCACCTATGTTCATGTCTGACACAACATCCTTTACAAAATTGAGAACCAGTACGTAATTGTCCTCATCAATACTTCCAGAAGCATCAATGACAAACACGACATCAAGACGTCCATCAGCACAATCTAAAATTCAACAAAAATATTGTGTCAATGGTATTATTAATTTAATAGTCATAAAAGAAGTTTCAATCAACTAGTATGGTAAATGGATAAGAAACGTGTTAAATATTTACTATATGTTGTTGACATACTTATTGTTTGGATGCATGACTTCTCAGCAATGGTTTCTGCTATCGTTGATAAACCTGAGAAATCGTCAACAACTGATGCATAAATGTCTGTTGGTTCGCTAGCTATGCCATTTACTTCCTCTATGTTAAGTTCCGCTGTTTTTATTCCAATAGCAAACATTTCAACACCGGCAGCTTTAGCTGCGTTTGCTGCTGGTATCGGATTCCCAGTTTTTGCAGCTCCATCGGTAACCACTATAGCAATATCTGGAACGTTACTTCTATCACCATTTGCCTCTTGGAACATGTCACTCATTAGACTTTCTAGACCCTCTTTTGTGGCAGTGGACCCTGCGTTATAAGGTAGGTTACGCAGAGCAGAAATTACATCTTCTCGATTTGTGTATCTATTCAAATGGAATATTACTTCAGCCTCATTATGGAATATAATTGCAGCCACTCTGGTCTGATTCGAACTGATGTCTAGTGTAAATGCTATATTCACAATGAAATCCCTAATGAATTTATAGTTTTCTTCTCCAACACTACCAGATGAATCAATCACAAAAACGACATCAGACGTCCCTCTACATGCTGCAAAATAGACAGAAATAGAAATAGGAAGGTTAGGGAAAATGAGGCGCAAATATTGTACAAATATTTAATTCTATTGAGGTGAATACCTGTGCATCTTTCACAAGTGAATATCATCTTGTGAAAGTGTCACGGGTATTCACCGAAAATAGAATTAAATATTTGTTTTATTATATCACTGTCATAACATCTTCTATAATTAAACAAGTCATATGTTAACATTGAAATACATTTATATTTCTACTAACAATATAACAATAAATACAATGAATATCAACTACCAAATTGTATAGTCAATAAAAACTCCCAAATAGACTAGATGCGAGTATAAATAATCTTAGTTTACGTCATTAAATATTCAAAATTCTGTCAAAGTGATGTCATATTTGAAATCTACATGTAAAAGTACATCAAAAAATGTGGTTTCAAAAATTGTAAATAAACTTTGAAAATTCAATTTTTTGAAAATGTGATTTCTCGTTCGGGTTGTTCCCCATAGACCCCATGCTACAAGATCACAAAAGGTGAAATATCTTTTCTTGAATTGGACAGATAACATTTTCTTTTACTGGACATATTTTAATTTGCATAACTATTAGATACATAAGGGTAATATGAAAACAGATATAATTTAAGTTGACCCGAACGAGCCTCCTGGTGGTGAAACTGGTAACTACCTACTCGCATCTGCGTTATTGTAGTATTTTGATTTAAGGTTTCATGTTAACATTATTATTAATTGTAACATTGCAATGGGTCAATAAAAATGGAATCATTGTGTGGAATCATTGTGTACTCATAGTATTGGCCCTGTGAAAATTACACTGGACTAAGTCAACCCCGGGGATGTATGAGTCATGACCGTTGAATATCATTTGATATTCACCGGAAGTCACGTGACTTCCGTTGAATATCGCTAGTTATTTTTAGTCACGTGTAGGACATGGACCAATAAGAGAGTGAGGAATATGACAGTGATATAATAAATAAGAGTATTCATCATAATATGACATCTGAAGCTAAGATGTCTTTATCAATGAAATTGTAATAAACATATAAGAATAAAATTATGCACTTTTAAATAGATTTATCTTATGCAATAAATGTAGAATTGTGATAATAGAAATACGAAAATATTCCATTATTATCTAATGAAGAATCAAAATGTCAGCGTCGCCAATTCTGTCTATTTACAAAACAGTCAAAGACACTCACATATTTCAGGTACTGTTGTTGTAGGTGCTGGGGTGGTTGTGGTTGGCGGCTGTGTTGATTTCTGTGTTGTGGTGGGTGGCGGTTGAGTTGCTAGATTTGTTGTGGTTGGCGGTTGTGTTGCTGTTTGAGTGGTTGGCGGTTGAGTTGCTGGATTTGTTGTGGTTGACACCTGTGTTGCTGGCTCAATAGTCGTAGGCGGTTGTGTTGCTATTTTTGTGGTTGGCGGTTGAGTTGCTGGATTTGTTGTGGTGGGTGGCTGTGTTGCTGGCTCGGTAGTCGTTGGCGGTTGTGTTGCTGTTCCTGTGGTTGGCGGTTGAGTTCCTGGATTTGTTGTGGTTGGCACCTGTGTTGCTGGCTCAATAGACGTTGGCGGTTGTGTTGCTGTTTTTGTGGTTGGCGGTTGAGTTGCTGGATTTGTTGTGGTTTGCACCTGTGTTGCTGGCTCAATAGACGTTGGCGGTTGTGTTGCTGTTTTTGTGGTTGGCGGTTGAGTTGCTGGATTTGTTGTGGTTGGCACCTGTGTTGCTGGCTCAATAGTCGTTCGCGGTTGTGTTGCTGTTTTTGTCGTTGGCGGTTGAGTTGCTGGATTTGTTGTGGTGGGTGGCTGTGTTACTGGCTTTTCTGTGGTTGGCAGTTGTGTTGCTGTTTCTGTGGTTGGCGGTTGAGTTGCTGGATGTGTTGTGGTTGGCACCTGTGTTGCTGGCTCAATAGACGTTGGCGATTGTGTTGCTGTTTCTGTGGTTGGCGGTTGAGTTGCTGGATGTGTTGTGGTTGGCACCTGTGTTGCTGGCTCAATAGACGTTGGCGATTGTGTTGCTGTTTCTGTGGTTGGCGGTTGAGTTGCTGGATTTGTTGTGGTTGGCACCTGTGTTGCTGGCTCAATAGTCGTTGGCGATTGTGTTGCTGTTTCTGTGGTTGGCGGTTGAGTTGTTGGATTTGTTGTGGTTGGCACCTGTGTTGCTGGCTCAATAGACGTTAGCGGTTGTGTTGCTGTTTTTGTGGTGGGCGGTTGAGTTGTTGGATTTGTTGTGGTTGGCACCTGTGTTGCTGGCTCAATAGACGTTAGCGGTTGTGTTGCTGTTTTTGTGGTGGGCGGTTGAGTTGTTGGATTTGTTGTGGTTTGCACCTGTGTTGCTGGCTCAATAGACGTTGGCGGTTGTGTTGCTGTTTCTGTGGTTGGCGGTTGAGTTGTTTGATTTGTTATGGTTGGCGGCTGTGTTGCTGGCTCGGTAGTCGTTGGCAGTTGTGTTGTTGGTACTTGAGTCGTTGGTTGAACTGGGAATACAAATGTGATGTTGATAAATAGCATGTTCACCTTAACATTTAAAGTACTCCTCAAATTAAGGTAAGTGATCATTCGATCAACCGTTCATTTCATAATTGTTGATCAAAACATCGTTTCTAATTTTTTGTTCAAAAAGATTGTTTCATTTAGTCATTGCTCGATACGTTACAAGTAACCATAAACCTTCTATTCTGTCCAAGTATTCAATTAAAATATGACTTACTTTCATCGTAGTTAACTGCAAAGGCAAATGTAAAAGGATAAGGAATATCATCAAATGTCTCGATATCGCCAACTGCATGTTCTCCATCTAACGTTGTCAACTGTTTGATTTTAGAGTTCGTGTTGAATGAGGCGCTGACTGGGATGACTTGAGTGTGCGCGTAAAATCCTAATGCGTCGCCATCGGCTATGATAAATTTTTCACTTGGTTCGAGAGGAAACTGTATGGTAGAACGTAAACACATTTAGTATGAGTACATTTAAATTAAAGTGCACTGTGGTGTATTTTTGATAGTTTTCTTGTTATTTGCACTGCAGAATTCGTAAGCGATTGAATGCAAAATTCGCACGGTGATCGGAAAAATGAAGAAAGTGTGGGAAAACTCCCATGCAGTGCCTCAGAATAGACACTGCGACGGGTAGAAGAAAAAATATCTAAATTTTGGTTAAAATAGTTCCTTTCTGACTTCAAATCTGCCCCCTACCTCGTTAGCTTCTGGATCCGCCAGTGGTTCTACACGACATGGAATAAATACTTTTCATAGCCTACACAAGTTCTGTTCCACTTTAAGACATTACCCCCCCCCCCCCTCTGTCCAATTTTGATTATATTGGATCATTTTCTACATTTAACGTATTGGAATTTATCTTAAAAACAACATTGGCATTGATTTAGGAATTCAAAAGTAAACATTCTCTTGAAAAAATGCATCTTGCAAATTTGTTGGATTTTCTAGCAGAAACCGACAGCCCCCCCCTCCCCCTCTTCATTTTTCCGATCACAGGGAGTGACTTACAGTCATAGAGGCAAACGTAACTAAATCATCACTTGATATAACATTGTATTGAATGGACACAAAAATCAACTTTGGACAGTGGAGATATTAAAATGACATTCAAAATATTTCTTTTAAAGATCACTTACAATTAAATGCCCTTTGCGAAGACTATCGTCGGGAACTCGAACCTGACCAACTAGTTCATACTGGTCGTCTAACTTTGGTCTCCATACTTGGAATGATAGGGGAGCAGGCTCATCAATCCAAGCTTCGAATGATTCTACCAATCCCGCAGAAAGAACTGCCGTAGAATCCGTCTCTCCTAACAAAAATACTTTCTCACCACCAGATCTAAAAGTGTAACTCCCTTGTACAATTGGCAGCATCCCTCTAGTCTGTCTGGCTGGAAATATGATTATCTGTCATTAGATAACAAAACACATGCTTTTTTCTATGTGGCTGGCCGGCCATTGTGGACGACCCTGCCTTAAAGGAAAATACATTCTGAACTTGAAAAATGTATAACCTTTTAGCTTTTGAAGTAACCATTTGATTTTCCGTTTTTGTTTTCAAAACTGCATCGGTCATATTCTAAAGATGCATACATTCCGATCGATCTTATCAAGGAACTCGCATTTGTTTTTTAGACGATATGAAAATAAGACTAAACTGTGACAAACCTGCTCCATTACGGATACAGCAGACCGCTAGGATCACCGTACGTATTAGTGACATCATACCTAAAATAGAGAGATAATAAGCTTAATTGAGCGCTCTGAAATAAATATTCTGTTTGTGATTTATTTGCATTCCAGTATGAAGGAAAGAAGATTCTCCATATACGCATAATGTACAGAGTGTCAAAAAGAATGGCAACCCTCTATACAGATTTAGATGATAGTTCCTGAAACGCGGTGTTGGATGCTTTCAAAAAGTACTGATGTATTCCATCATTTGGGATATGGAGGATTTGTTTTCCTTTATAACTCGTTACTCCTATGTATGCATATTTTTGCATTCTGTGATCATTTGTAAAATTTCCCTTATTCTTTTGGCAAATGTGTTGGACTTGCATAGTGTAAACCGGAAAAGTGAATAACGTCTTAATAACAAAATGGATGAACTTCCGCCGGAGGAACTTTGTATTTTCATCATTTTCAATAAGAAGGATGTCGATTTGTATCCAAATTGGGGAACGGCCTATTTTATTACTCATAGAGCAACTTTCATTGAAATTCACTTTCTTGTTCACAAGAATACTTGTTTTGCTTCTCCCAAAAATTAATGATATACTATGTTGTGTAATCATGCTCAAGTTAAAGTGCGCAACATTATATATCAAACGATTACGTAATCGTTTCTTTGGGATACGTGGATAGCAGTTTCCCCATGCCAAACAATTTTTATAAATGTATGTTAGTTTTTTTTATCTAATAAAATTTATACCACTTGTTCTTTTTAATATAAATTACCCATTGATTGGGGCTGCTGGATGTATATACTCGTGACTCAATAGCTTTTCAGGTAAACTGTATGGTTACAAATCGACCTCTTTCTTGGTACAAATGATGAAAATAAAAATTCCTCCGACAGAAGTTTATCCATTTTGTTATAAAGGTGGCCAGTTCAATTGTTTGAACGAGGTGAAGTCTCGTCAGTTGTTTTACACATGAGATAATGTCCCTTCAAAGCGTCCAATTTGTCCAGATACATGATTCGATGACCTTATAAACTGAATTTTTTCACCACACGATAGTACATGTATATCATTTTTATGGAATACGTTCCAAAAATCGCAATTTATAAATAAAATAGTAAATGTCAACGGGAAATCTGTACCAAAAGTCGAAACAGAGTACTGGATAGATTTGGCAGCCATACAATTACCATCATACAGGATGAGTAAGCAGAACGTATTGAATAAGGGAGTTACCTTTTCAATGCAGAATCACGGGAAGAAAATATACCATGACTCTACTGTACTGAGCATATTATATGGCGTAGATTTGGCGTTACCCAATATGCATTTCAGTCCATTGAGCTAATCTAACTATTTGATTTCAATTGATCAAAATTATAAGTATATATATAAATTAAAAGGCGCTTCGTGACTTTTTAGATGAATTGACGTTATAAATAAATACAAGAATATCATATATGCCATTTCATGTACAATAGGGGATATGAATTTTTAGACGAGTTTTCATAGTTTTCAAACCAATAAAATTTCATGAAAAGTAACAGTTATTTATACTCATGATGATAAAAAATTGTAATCTGGCAAAAAATCGCACTGTATTTTTCCAGATCATGGAAGTTGAGAAATGTGTTGGGTCGGGGCCTCATCCAGAGTTTTTCGGATATTTTTTAAAGAAAAACTGTCAGCATTCTTGGTCAGTTTGTATAGTCATGGTCAAAGAAACATGCACGATATGTTATTAAGCAATATCCTTAGATAAGAAGGTATCTCCTCAATTTAAAATTAGGGGAGGGGAACATATATCCCAATAAACTTTCCCACCAATTAACTGCAGACGCTACTAAAGATGCTCATGCTTTCACTGTTTCGTATTGTGTAATCGTGACGTAATGTAAATTCACATTTAGTATACATGATTTATATATATCACATAAAATTGTATACTTAACATACTTAAAATTATTAGTCAAAATTAGCCAAATAAAAGTTTCATATTTTAATCGAATATTATACTATAGTAATATATATTAATTAACTTTCTAAAAAAGAGGGAATGATACTCACTGCACTGTAAATGTCGATATCCAGATCCAGCTGCAAACCTATTGAGGGGTTCCGAATGATCGCTAAAAAACTAGGCTAGTTATATGATCTTTATACATCACTTAATAAGCGTACACGTGATGTACGACCAATCATAATCATCGATGTCATTGTATCTACATGAATCCTTACTTATTTGTTAAAATGTCTTTGGTGTCTCAAAAGGTTTTGATCTCTATTATTTTAAGCACATTGGACACCGAGGAACTTAATTTGATATACTTCTGAAGTCTTTGAATACACATACGTTTCTGCGTATTTGAAGAAATTTCTGATATTTCTTGTTGGAAAGGGAAATTCAGTTGATCGTGAAATTATACCCATTGTATAATAATGATGCACACAGCGGCTTCATAGGGAGGTCAAAACCCAATTTTGACAGAACTCCAGGACATGTGTTTGGAGTCGCAGTTTATTCGTATTATAGACTACTATGCAAATTATAATAGATAAGTTGTTGGTTAAAATAATATTCATAGCTAGCTCTTACGATCATGAGTTTTGACAGAATTTTGATTACTTTATTCAATGTGTACTAATATATGTAGTACAGGGTGAGCCAAGAAACGCCGCGTTTTAAAAAAAGTTCTGTAACTTTTTAAATGTTTGATACCAAATGAAACTTGAAGTTGCAATTTAGTCATGCATTAAGATATTTACACTTGAAAATTTACACATACTTGAATAAAGAATATCACCAGCGCCTCACTTAAAAATGTGAAAAATAAACATAATTTGTAAAATGTACCTGAACTGATACGGCCTGATGACCACCCAGCTAATACTCCTGATGAAAACCCCAGTGATTTTAGGGTATATGGGGGTCTTCAGGAGATGGTATGTAGGCACCAAATCTCGAAGGATTGCCCAAGTAAATCTAGCAAATTAGGCAAGTTGAAAGAAATTTAACCAACATTACACTGATACTGCGATATCAGAAAGGCGACTTAGAGAAAAAGCTAATCTAATCATTAAAGAGGGCGGCGGACCAATTAAATTCCTATTTTAGGTCAAATACGAGTACAATCCAAGTTAAAGGACCCACTCTATAATTTTATTATTCATGACCTCTGGCACTATATCACTGCAAAATTTGGTTGGAAAATAAAAAGGTTATAGTGTTTTTAATAAAACTTGGCGTTTTTGGCCCATCCTATATATGTATTCTGTATTTATTTTAAGACAAGTGAGGTTTCAGCATCTCAAACAATACACGAAGAACAAACGTATATGCTCTCGATTCTCTTAAAAGCCCATGATTTAATTCTGTTACCTAATGAAAACTCTTAGATAGAAAATTAGTTACGATGGCCAGACATAAATCAAAGTCCGTTGTCGAAGTAAGAATGTATCATTAAGTGACTTTTGCTGAAAATTGTTCAAATGGGCAGGTCTTTCCCAACTGGAGCACTGGTCCACAGCACTGATACTAACAGGGGTTAGTATAATCCAAGATGGCGGACAAATTCATTGATCGATAAATCTTAAAAACCCATGAACCAAGTAAAATCTGAATTCCAAAGTTCGATTGTAAACAACTCCAAGGGGAAGCTCAACTTACGCAAATTACATTCTTGGCAGTGATGATACTTACTCAAAAGGGATGATACAAACTGTGTGAGAACTCTCCATTGAGTTTCTTTCATCATCAATGGTCAATATCAAGTTCAATAAATATCCTGCGACTTCCGCATATGTTTCTTGCTGCATGCATTTAACTGGTGAGGTACATAACCTGCGGGAATATATACTGTATATAGGGAGCGGAGTGGATTTTCGGTCCATTTTCTTCGGAAAATGTGTTTTTTGACACGGAAACGCCGCCAGAACTGCGCAAACGTAGCGCGAAAATAATGTTTCCACGTCACGAATGTTTTTTTGATCCCGCGATTGCTTTTAACCAGTTATTGATAGGCAATTGCCAAAAATGTCTTTAAATTGTACAAGTATAGATACACACTTCATGACCTGGTGGTGGCAAAAGTAGGCTATTGAAAGTCATCTAAAATGTGCATATTCAAGTATATTTGAGCGAGGCTTGACTATTTTCTAAACTAAATATGATTGATTCATCGCTAGTTTCCACCAATGATTTTGTAGATTTTTTAACAGGAATTAAAGCAATCGAAAAATCGACCCAGCGTGACATAGGCCTATAACCTATAAGACTATACACGCCATGGTCCTGAAAAAATATTTCACATCAGCCCTTAGCGCAGAATTTCATTCTGTGTTTTCATGAGCTTAACCGTGGTCTTTAAACCTGGCTCACGCCCACAGTTATTTCATGTACTTCGTTTTCCATTGATTTTGGATGTTGTTTCACAACAATTTGGCTTCCCATGTATTGGAACGAAAACTGAAACTTGTCCAGGATGGTTTCCCGTCGTGAGTCAAGCCCTAAAGCGAGATCATCTGCCAATATCCTGTTTAATAACACTCATCATCGAGCAATGCATATATGTACATGTATTATGTCCTATTCCAGTAAACAATAATGTTTGATTTTCAATTTCTCAGAAAATCTCAAGAGGGGGATGTCCAATATATAAAATCTGGTGTACGTGTACATTGTACTTCCCCCTCCCTATTAGTCACAAGTTCTGTTTTTAATAATTTAATGAAAACATAGAATGAAATTCTGCGCTGTGGGCTAATGTAAAAAAGTCAGTACACCGTAGTGGGGATCGAACTCAAGACATCGCTTTCCGGACGAGTGCTCTACCACTAAATTGAGAAGAGTTCTGTTTTCAATAATAGGTACAAAGGAAATATAATATGAAACAAATATTGCCCAATGTACTCGTTGCTATAGTAAAATTGTCACTTCAGCAATCATACAAAAATGATAAAGAGGGTAATCTGAAATAATGTTTCAGTTTTGATGTCACGTGCAACAGTAAATATATTATTCCTGTATTGCAGACTGAGCCTCATGCTATATGGCATACTGTAAAAGCCCAAATTTTCAAGGTGCCCTAATTTTCACTATGTTCGCTGAGGAGGCAAGATCGTGAAATTAAAGGCACAGTGAAAATTTGATTTAACATTGGGTTCAATTTGATATTTCTTCAAACAATGGAATTTGATGCCCATGAAACATTTTAGATTGACAAAATAGTGAATTTTTGTCAGCGGAAATTTGGACTTTTACAGTATTCAATTCAAACGTCACGGAAAAATCATGACAAAGTAAGCATTCCTTTATGAAATATAAATCAATTGTAGTCGGTCACTTGTTTGTTTGTTTGTAAGCATCGCCTTTTATATTCATGCCGTGTAAAATGAAACAGTAAAATTAAATAAACACCATGGAATTTTACATATTTCTTTTAGGTATTTTTTTATTTTGCTTTATAGTACATCGGTTTTGGTAATGAGCTTCTATATTTTATATGATGTCCCCTAGATCATATGGACAGTAGATTAAACCCCTATTCCTATTTTCAAAATGTAAAGTAATATTCTTAAGAAGTTACAGGCTTGTTCATTTTAGCAAAAGATACAGAATATTTAAGACTTCAGGCACATATCATATTGTTAGTACCTCAACTGAAATACTCGATTCTGATTGATTGATTAGCGGTCAACAATATGTATTGTACATGATATATGAGACTAACAGTTGTCTTGAACAAGTATATTCCTCAACAAAATGATTACGAAATCCTAATATACATACTTAATTACTCATGAGGGTTCAACATGAGGGTTCACAGCTCTCGAAGTGTTTGACAGTCTCGATCTTCTCTTACTTCAAACATACACATAATCAAGACGTTACAAATGTGTTGTTTTTAATTATTTACATATACAGGGCGGCCCGAAAGTAGGTTTACAGTTTAATAGAAGAAATTGTTGGATACTAATAACTTTAAACATGCTTTTGGGCCACCCAGTATTTAGATTATCTGTTTAAATCAAAACTGGCATTTTTAAAAACCTATGATTTTGGATAGGATTGTATTGTAACAGTAGATCGAGCTTTCGAAGACTTTTGGAGCCATTGCAGCCTCACATTTATAGGCTAAACCAGCTGCTGATTCTTCGAGGATGGACACTGTTCAATCATCATCACGCACTTTTCAGTCAGCAAGTCGAGTAATGTTCCATGTTTCTCAGCTGGTCACAATATAAAGTGAAATGAAATATTTCTTACTAGTTTCGATAATCTTAAAATGCATCCAGTGTAAGATTGCACATGTACATATTTACACCATCATTTACTGAAGCCTGATAATTATTACCATTGTGGAGTCCATGTAACAAACATGCATTGTACCCTAGGTACAACACATTAATGTTGGCACAAGAAATTGTACATTACACTTTGTTAAAGCAATTAGAAGGGATAGGGGCTATGTTGGGAGCAGGTTTTGACAAGGAAATAACATGCAAAATGTCACAAACTGCCATCTGTTAGACGCCCACTGCTATTACAGATGACCAACACAAACAACCAAACACTGTCCACAACAAAGTTGGAGAATATAACAATATGTCACCACTTCCGGTGGTGACATTTAAAAACGTTATCACAATTTCTCATTCAATGTCATGCCTACTTTCTCAAAAGTCTAGCATTCCTGACTTTATTTCTGGACCTTCTTTCGAAATGCAATGTTACACTGACCAAAAAATTGAAAAATAGTACCGTGGGAAATTATTTGTAAAGCTAGAAAATGGGCCAAAAGTGAATTTCTCGAGACAAAAATGGCGACCATTTTGAAAATAGGTGAGCTTTTGAACCAGGAGTCATGGGGGAGTTTTTTGTATCGATGTTGAACAAAAATAAACAGGAATCCTATCGACAGAGGTTTTAAGGCAAATGGTCCAAAGTGGATTTCACAATACAGATGGACAAAGCAATGTTAACTAAAATAACTGAAAACAAAAAAACTGATATAATCTTTTGCCGATACTTTGTAACAAAATTATTTCATACAACTACTCTTTACATTGACATGGCTTTTTACAATGCAGGACACCTGAATGTATTTGTAAAGCTAGAAAATGGGTCAAAAGTGAATTTCGCGAGACAAAAATGGTGGCCATCTTGAAAATAGGCGAGCTTTTGAACCAGGAGTCATAGGGGAGTTTTCTGTATTGATGTTGAACAAAACGTGCCACTATTGTTGGTCCAAAAGTGGATTTCCTAAGACAAATGGACAAATCGATGTTTACTAAAATGGCTGAAAATAAAAAAAACGGATATAATTAACAAAACAAAATTATTTCATATAACTACTCTTCACATTGACATGGATTTTAACAATGCAGGACACCTGACATTATTTGTAAAGCTAAGAAATGGGTCAAAAAAAATTTCACGAGACAAAAATGGCGGCCATCTTGAAAATAGGCGAGCTTTTGAACCAGGAGTCATAGGGGCATTTTTGCATTTAAATCTTTAATAGCTCCTTTATTTGACTAAGATACAGTATCTAAATTCTATTTCGTTAAAGTGTCTTTCTAAGACTTAGAAGGAGAAATATGAGATTTCGAGCCATATGTCTCAAGAAAATGCTCTTACCTTTCTAGTAGGATGAGTTCAGGTGCCAAAAACAGCTGATCAAAGGATATATATCATTTTCTAATTGAAAATTTTTGTTGAGCCCTGCATTTTTAACACTGTTTTGACAGGAAGTCATACCCAAAATGAAAACTGAATAAAACAACATTTATCCTAAATGTAGATCAAAATACTTACTCAGACATGCAAAATGTTATTATAAGTAGTAATGCTGATCATTTCTAAGAAATTTAAGCATATAAATAAGACTTTTTTCGTCTATGACTATATAGATAAAGAATTTCTTATGTCAGGAAGCTTTGGCACTTTGGTGTAGTGGTTAGAGCTTTGGACTCTACCAGTCTTTTATTCCAAAAGATCTGAGTTCAAATCCCACGGGTGGAATATGTTTTTATTCTTTATTTTATTCATTTTTTTATTTTGATCCACAATATTTCTAAAATAAATATTATATATGGCACTCAAACCATATTTAGTATTTCCAAGGGTTTTAATTTTTAGATGAAATCATGGAAAGTTACTTTAATACGATTAGGATTGCAAATAAAGCAGGAGCACGATTCTTGAAAATATTGCTTTCAACATTTTTAACTATAATCCCTTCTATTTACTTTAATGACAATTTCTTGTTTTTAAATCAGCAGTAAGTATTAAATATAATTACAATATTAATTGATACATATGAAACACCATTTCTTTCCATCACAGATGCCTAGAATTACATGATATTATGAGGCTGTACATATACAGCTTACTATACATTATAGATAACGGCATACCTTTGTATATGTATTGTATTTGTACATTTGTTACAAATAACTGTACATACACATCAGGAGTAGTCAAACAGATATCTGTCTTTCCACAGAAGTTCCTTTCCTAAAAAGGAGTTATAAATATCTATACACTAGAAAACATGAGAGTTTAGAGAGAATGGAAGTGTCACACATTCCTGTTGGCCCTGTGTCACATATTCATGATGGCCATATGTCACATATTCATGATTGGCATGTGTCATATATTCCTTATCCCAATGTGTCCCATATACTTATGTATCACATATTCAATGGCCAGAATCAAGATGTTACTAATGTATCACATATTCTCCAGCCAGGGTCAAGATGTTACTAATGTGTCACATATTCTCCAACCAGGATCAAGATGTTACTAAAGTGTCACATATTCTCCAACCAGGATCAAGATGTTACTAATGTGTCACATATTCTCCAACCAGGATCAAGATGTTACTAATGTGTCACATATTCTCCAACCAGGATCAAGATGTTACTAATGTGTCACATATTCTCCAACCAGAATCAAGATGTTAGAAATGTATCACATATTCTTTGGCCATAGTCAAGATGTTACAAATGTGTCGCATATTATTTGGCCATGGTCAAGATGTTACAAATGTGTCACATATTCTCTGGCCATAGTCAAGATGTTACAAATGTGTCGCATATTATTTGGCCATGGTCAAGATGTTACAAATGTGTCACATATTCTCTGGCCATAGTCAAGATGTTACAAATGTGTCGCATATTATTTGGCCATGGTCAAGATGTTACAAATGTGTCACATATTATCTGGCCATAGTCAAGATGTTACAAATGTGTCGCATCTTCCTGGGGGTTACGGTCAAGATGTGTTGGGAGTTTGGGATATGAAGGGTTCTGGAGCAAGGCCATTGTCCATTTCTGTATTCTTCATTTGCAAATTTTTTAATCTGAAAGAAAACATCGAATTGTAATATCCAAACATGGCAAAGCACGTACATGATATCACATCTCCAAGTAGGTACTTAATAAGAATTGCAATAGAAATGGAGTCTTCATAAATGGTCACCAGAACTCAAAGCTGCTTGAAAGTTAATATTCATAAGCATTCGATGGCCATCTAAAAGTTGAACAGTTCTGAGATAATGGTGGTCACTAAAAGGTTGCATTCCAGGGCATATTTTGAATAAATAGGGGGCGAATAGAGTACACTTGGAATGCATAAGATAACTTGTCATCCAAATATCTTAACACCTTAGTGCTATAATATAAGTTTATGTTTTCTTTTTTAAATCTACAACATGTTCTAACCTTTCCAAAAGTTCATTGTTTTCATGGACTCCTTTCGTTACTTTGATTGTATCACTCTGAATAGAATCCACCCTGAAACAATTAAAATATGAAAGAATCAGCACAAAAAATTACTACATCACCATAAAACTATTATTCTATCAGCATCATTACATTATACAATCAGCATCATAAAATCAGCCATTGTACAATCAGCATAAAAACAAGTAGCATCATGACATTATACAATCAGAATCATGACATTATACAATCACCATCATGACATTATACAATCAGAATCATGACAATATACAATCAGAATCATGACATTATACAATCAGCATCATGACATTATACAATCACCATCATGACATTATACAATCAGCATCATGACATTATACAATCAGAATCATGACATTATACAATCAGAATCATGACATTATACAATCAGCATCATGACATTATACAATCACCATCATGACATTATACAATCAGAATCATGACATTATACAATCAGAATCATGACATTATACAATCAGCATCATGACATTATACAATCACCATCATGACATTATACAATCAGAATCATGACATTATACAATCAGAATCATGACATTATACAATCAGAATCATGACATTATACAATCAGCATCATGACATTATACAATCACCATCATGACATTATACAATCAGCATCATTCTCTCCTGACTCTCGGATATGATAGTTACAAGATAGGTATATTACCAGAGAGGTACCAGATCGGTTACATACCCTCTTTGGACGTTTATCAGTGTTCCTATACTCTCCTCTGGCAGGGGAGAGTTTATGGTGAATGATGGGTTTGGGTTAAACCTTGCCATTTGCTCATTTCTTGTGGGAAGACTTCCGGTCTTGGGATTCTTACGATAAGCAAAGTCTCCTATAATCCCCATGTGGACTTGGTACTCCATCTGAACCTTGAAATCAAGCAAAAAATTGAATTACAGTTAAACATGTTGGCCAAAAATGTTTGGATTGCCAGGTGTTCATATTTCAATGTATTCCAATGTGGACCTGGTACTCATTCTGAACCTTGAAATCAAAGAAAAAATTAGAAGTAAAAACATGTTGGCCAAAAATGTTTGGATTGCCAGGTATTCATATTTCAATGTATCCGAATGTGGACCTGGTACTCATTCTGAACCTTGAAATCAAAGAAAAATTAGAAGTAATAAAAACATGTTGGCTAAAAGTGTTTGAATTGGCAGATGTTCACATTTCAATGTTCACGTTTCAAACATGGCAATAAATGGCAGATTTGAAAAATGAGACCAAAAAGGCTTTCACATCAAAGGTGTTCAATTAGAGAGGTGTTCAGAGAGTAATTATGTGTATAACTAAGATTCATTTCAATGCTGAAAAAATGTACTAGTAACTGCTTATTTATACTAAGACAGGTAAATGGGTTCCCCAGAAAGATGGAGCTGCATACATGTACACAAAGTTTTCATTTCACTTACTTTGTCAACCATTTTTGTGAAGTCATTGTGAGATTTCTGCTTCTTCGTGACTTCACTCTCAAGTCTTGAAATCTTATATCTCACTTTGCAGCCCATTCTGAAGAAAACAAGACATGAGAAAACTACAACCAACAGTATGGGAATCTAATGTACTATCATCATCAACACTGACATTGTATTTTACTTAACATTACATTGCACTTGACACTACATTGCACTGTACTTGACATTGCATTGCAAAACATATCTTGGGAAATAAATTGTTTAAATCGAAATTGGCAATCTTGGTTTAAGCTAAACAAGTGCAACACTTGGAAAATTGTGAAACTGATCTCTATTCTTTTTGACCCCTTTAACTTGAGTTGATTTGTTTTGTTCATTGTTTTTTGTTAGTGTTTTGACTAGTGAATTGTGTCAGAAATTACTTACTCAAACCATTCCGCAAATTTTTTATAAGTTGTTTTTAGATTTTTATAGCAGTGTTCAGTCACGACAGACATGGCTTTGGCACAGTTTTCCTCCAAACGATTCCTGTGAAAAAAGGAGAAAGAAAATGTATTGAAGAGGAGTTTTACAGAATAGGCTGACCTCGTTTATGTATGATTGCAAGGGAACCTTCTACTTCTGATAAAATTATAGTTTGAATGTCAAACTGTATTTCAATTGTTTAAATATACATGTGGAAGGTTAAAATAAACAAAAAGCAGGTCTGAATATAAAAATAGTAGAAATTATTTAGAGGCATCAACAATCCTTTACCTTTTAATGTACATGTATGTAGTATCAATAGCGGAATAGTGACAGAATTTAACTTACTTTTCAAATTTGTGAATTTGTTCATCATTATATGTCAGGCTTTTAGCATTTTCTCTGTCTCTTTTGAACTCAGCCATTGTTTGTGTTACTAGGTCCACAAGGTGGTTAACTTTGCTCTTGCTGAATATAAATATTACCATAGCAACAGATAAATACAATATTACAAGCAATACCATGGCAACAGACGTATACCACATCACAAGCATTACTCAGGGTCTCCTATAGTTTTAGTTGGATGTCTGAACTTTATTGCAAATATTTTTAAGAACTATTTTCTGACATCTTTAAAAAGTATGTCTGTAATATGAATACAAACTTAAATCTAAACAATGACCCTCGGTACAAACCAAATATTATGCCAGAAAGCCTTGATCAGAAAGAAATTACAATGTAGGAAATAACAAGAATAGTACTAAGTACTTACCACCTATCAGACTCAATGCAGCCAAGTTTATCATTCCACCTGGCTGTGAAGTCATTGTTCACTACAATCTTCAGGTAGTAGTCCTTGGTATAGTGGTTTACAGTAGACATCTCTTCATCCAACTAAAATTATATAACACAACTTGGTTTATGTACAATCTTTACAGGGTAGACATTTAAGAACTTTTCTGGGTTTGATTGCGCCAAGGTTGCTCCTTTATCCGTTCTTTCACATAATTAACAAAACGTAGTACTGGACTTAGTGTTAGTTTGGTAAAATAAATCATCCTTTACTGGCTTTATATGACATAATAGTGTACAAAGTGATGTTTCATATTAAATATTCCAAAAATGTACATGTACATGTATGACAATGCATCGCAATTGGAGCTGACAGTCACATGACCAAATTTGTCCAATCAGATGCATGGATTTCTGATGAGATTACGAAACAAGAACAAGATTTCATACTGTCTTTTGTGTCGGAATTGATCTGTCAATCCTATTTTTGAGCTTCTCGATCTGTTCCTGTGATTCCATTACGTTTTGCGGGAGCACAGTCCTGGAAAACATGTTTTTCCACATGTTCCCATGCATGTTGTATGAATCTTTGAAGTATTCAAATCGTTTCTGAGTTTCTTTGTGCTTTATAGTGAAGTGATCTACGTAATCTTTGATGTGTTGTGTGTCATTTAATATTACACACCTGAAATAGATTTAACATACACAATTATAGATAATCAGATATTGCTGATTTAATAAAATCATCGTTTCAATTAAGTACATCTGTAAAATCCTTAACCATGTACTTAGAAGACATATCTAAATAGTATAAGTCATGTTGAGTTTTATCATCATAGAACTTCATAATCATCCATGGACTGAGAAGATACATTCCTGAATCATCATAGATGTTTCAAATGTACATCAACAGTATTTCAATTCAGCTAAATGTGTGGCATCCTAACATAGATGGCAGCATGGTTTCGATGGGTTAGAAGTAACAGAAGAAGTCGGCCGATGTCAGACGAAACGTCTTACAATCATGCACGTAAAACAAGTAGTGTAAAAACAATAAATTAGATATAAATTCAAAGTTCAGCATTATGTAAAAGTACTTCAATGTTGTATGAAGCATATTGGACTACTCACGTGTACATCTTGACAGATCTGTGTATGAGTTTCTGCATGGCCATATAGAGCTGTACCTGCCTTTTAATGTGATGTAGGACTCCACAGCAGGATTTAGTAAAGGCATAGTCTTCACTTAGGTTCAGGCCTGGCTTAGGAACAGGGAATTTGGCTGTTGGGATACAAATACTGCACATTGTAAAGTGTTTGAAAATACAAATGTATGCATTTGAAAAAAGTTGCTAAGAGCCGATTCATTGATGGGGAGACCAACTTAAAGTGGTACATGCGGCAAAAAATCAGATTCATAAGTTAACATAGACAAATTAACATACAGAGACATTCCTCATTTTACACTTGGTATTCCCAGGGGCGGTCACCCATCCAAGTAATAACCAAGCTTGATGTTGCTTAACTTCAAGAACTGGTTTAAGACTAGACTATTATCCTATATAGATGGATATAAGTCATTTACTCACGTATATTCCAGACTGTTAGCTTTGGGAACTCCATAAATTCTTTATTGTAGAGAAATATAGGCATATCCTGTGATGTAGGAGGATAAGTGTCTGCTGTTTGTGTCCCATGCACTATGGTTTGTAGGGGTTGGTTCTCATATAGGAGATGCTGACACTCAGCTTTAATATCAGTTTGTTCAGCCAATAAGTCTTGGAATTTTGCATAACTGGAATTGTGAAATGAGACATCAAAATCAAATGGATTATCGTGTGGTAGATTATTGGAGAAGACTCAATGTGGTAGCAATGGCAAGTGGGAGAAGAGTCAATGTGGGAGAAGAGTCAATGTAGGAGAAGAGTCAATGTGGGAGAAGAGTCAATGTAGGAGAAGAGTCAATGTGGGAGAAGAGTCAATGTAGGAGAAGAGTCAATGTGGGAGAAGAGTCAATGTAGGAGAAGAGTCAATGTAGGAGAAGAGTCAATGTGGGAGAAGAGTCAATGTTGGAGAAGAGTCAATTTGGGAGAAGGGTCAGTGTAAGAGCAAAGTCGATGTGACAGCAAAGTCAATGTGGGAGCAAAGTCAATGGAGGTAAAGAGTCAATGCCTTTTGGATCTATCCAACAATCTTTGTACCTTTTCTCTACTCACAGAATATGAACTCATCCTATTCGGCAGGTAATTAAAAACAAAACGAAACCAAAAAGGAGTGTGCCATTCACATGTATGTGCAAATGTAAGGAGTAAATGTGACAGGTCAAGTGGCAGAGATAAAGCTTGATTGTTCTGCACTTCAATATTGACAAAGGATAAATAATACTACACTGTTGAAGTCTGAGACACCACTCTTTTCAAATACAAGTACTGTACTTACAGGGGATTTAGGATTGGTGTATGATGAATTACCTTTCATTCTTGCCTATATATACACTAATAGAGCTCCCAGTACAGGCACTAAACACATAAATCACCATCTTTTCATCAAGAGATGATGTGAACTCAAACAATTGATCAAATGTCATTGACTTCTGAGGGTCCCCTTCCAAAAGCCGGGCCAGTACTGGAGTGATCAGGTTCCTTAGACCCCTGAAAGTATAAAAAAATGATACAGTGTATTTGGGATAAGTGAAATATGTATGCCCTGAAAGTATCAAAATGATACAGTTGATTTGGGAGAAGTGAAATATAGTGCTCTGAAAGTACAAAATAATACAGTATATTTGTGAAATATTTATGCCCCAAAACTATAAAAATAATACAGTGTATTTGGGAGAAGTGAGATTTCAATTGAAGATGGAGATATTTATTGAGATGGTGACACTTTTGGTGAACTCACTTTAAATTACACATTATAAATTGTTTAGGGCCTGTAGCCAGCTTTTGCCAAGGGGGATCACTTTTCAGAAAAATTTTAGGGGGGTTCACTTTGACAAATTTGGCACAAAATCACATGAAACTACATGATTTTGAAAGAATTTTTGGCCAGAGGGAGTGGACCTGTGTTTGATCTCTACAATGATCAGTTAATAAGAAAGGATTGGCCATTTTGACTCACAAATAATGACATTCATATTTTAAGTGATACTTTCAAAAATGACTCACACATAATGACATGTAAAAATGATGAAGCATTAATAAATAAATATTTGATTACAATAAATGAGTCTCATTTAATGTGCGTCAAACAATAGAAACAAGCTGAGATATTAATTCAAAAAATAATAGTAGTAAGATATTCAGAATATCACATAGAGTACATATCATACAGTTCACAATGCCTAGACTTCCAGACTTACAGTGATAATCTACAGGTTTTGGGCAATTCCCTTCCCCATTCAATATTGCCTCCTTCAGTACTCTGGACCCCTGATATCACACCAGAAGCCTTTTTGGTTGTAATTTCAAACCTGAAATAAATGAGAAGCATATTTTTTATTTATTTACGTTTTACATACACTACATGTATAAATAACACAACCAGAGTTGCTGTATTTTACATTAAATTGGTCAAAATATACCAATTTTCATGATTTTTCTCATTTTCAAGTGGGTGCAAATGGATTTTCAGGTGGGTGCAAGCCTATAACAAAATCTCAGGTGGGTGCTGCACCCACTTGCTTATAACCCTGGAGATCACTGGAAGTATTACTGTATATTAATGATCATGTAAGCAAATGCAAAATGATAATTTGAAGACTGTACATGTATGATTGATGTATCATGTAATACGAGATGAAATAACTGGTTAAAAATTTAATAAAAAGCTATACAGTTCTCAGCAATGAACGAATGGACACTTTCATTTTGTTATCGTTAAACATGATTTATATTCATTTACTAATTAAAGTCAAGGACATCTAGGCGCCAAATGTCTAACATCAAACAGGGTGCAGCCTACAGATAACAGTTCTCAGAACTGAAACAATTGAACATAATACACCATTTGCTATATAAATGGATAAATAGATGGCAGCACATGTGTTGGTGGGCAGGTAGGGCTAGATATAGTATTTAGAATATTGGAAAACTGAATTTAATTTTTGATTTCTTGAATATTTCTAATGAATTAATGCAAAACACAAGTGTCATGTGGATTGTATTTTAACCTTAAAATTGCGATCCCTGTATCCTCTGTCCAAGTACAGAACCCAATTCTATTTCAGAGAACCATTCTTAACAGATATATTTTGGAATAGCCAGAATCGAAGATCAGGCTGTTTAAAATTGGCATAACACAACCATTACTAAATAATTAATTGTTTTGTTCAGTTTGTTTGCATAGGGCAGGTGTGGGGAAAAATTGGAATCTTTTGTTTGGAATCTCTATTGATATCAGTCTATGAAGGTTCAATAGCTGTTTAAGTTTTAAGCTTGATAGCCCGAAATTAAATGAACTTTTTAAATGAATCATGCACAATATATTAACACAATTTACACATACAGAATTTAGGCAATTTACATACATTTTACACATAATCATATACATATACATAATTTTAACACTTACATTTTCTTCTTGTTTTTTCTCCCTCCAAATGGCCTAAATGGAAGCTGTCCTGTTGCAACATGGTAGAATGTGACCCCCAGAGACCAGAGGTCAACACTTGCCCCAAACTGTTGTAAGAGAGGTTGCCGCAAGACAGCAGGACTGTACATGTCTGGGTGCTGAAAGCAGAGGAGAGGGGGTTTAATACTGTAGTATGTTTATCTATATATCTTTAATATATCATCACCACAGACCTGCCTGGCTCTCTTGAATCTAAGGTCATTTGAGTAAACATTTGTTTTAATCTTAATTATATTAAAAATTGTGACCTGCATCAATAGAGAAGTTTCCTGGGAAATTATACTTGCTCTCCAAAATTGATAAGTTAAGAGATGAGTGAATGTCAAGGTAGTTCAGTTAATGTTTAAAAGTTGTAATTGGCTTCTTTCTAGAAGTCCCATCTAATTTTCAAGTAAACATAACTAATTCCATTCATGGACTTAAATTTTCAGTTTAGCAAAAATATCTAGAATTAGAATATAAGTTGAGCATTGATATACTGTATATACTTAATATAAAAAGGAAAAAAAGTCAGTGACCTCCATTTTTGTAGTTAAAAAATAGACTAGGTCAATGCATTTTCAGAACTTCAAATTAACATTATAAATGATTTCTTACCAGATATTCCTCAGTTCCATATAAGGACATGAACTGCTGCTCATCGTCAAGCTCTCTGGCAGCACCGAAATCTGTGAGTTTATAAATAGATGTGCCATCCTCTGCTATGTACTTTAAAATGTTACCAGGCTTAATGTCTCTATGTATAATACTTTTATCCCTGAGATGTTTCATGCCAGCGGCTAAAATAATCATAGCATAAATATGTGTTATTCTCATTTATATATTTGATCTATGGAGATCAAAATGGCATAAGCTGGAAATTGACATTGCGAAAGTAGTTTCAGTAGTTTTGCTCCAATTATACAAAATTTAGGACAAAATTATTATATAATGTCAGTTGAGACAACAAATGTTAGGCTTTTTAGGAAGGGAGGGCAAAACCCCAAAAAATGTAACAAATAATTGTAACACTGAAACATTCAATGATTTCCAATTTGAATGTTTATAATACTCATCTTAATATATATCTTCTTACCAACATGCTGCAGAACGAGCAGGAACTCATCTTCCTCTAGACCATATGCATTCACTGGACTATCTAATATATTATAGAGACTACCCCCTGTACACAGCTCCATCACTATCACATGCGCATTTGTAATTTGCTGAAACAAAAAATATTTTTACATGGTTTTGAGTCTTACATGGTCATTTTGAGTCACGAATGAAATAGTGTCAATTTATACTCATTCACCTTATCTCTATTTAGCTATTTAGTGAACACCCTGTATCTACATGTGGCCTCAATGTAGTAAACATATCTTACCTAAGTTCATTTAACATGTCTGATCTTGCCTTAACTTCAAGGTTTTACACTTATCTTACCTCAACTTCAATGGTTAAGAGACGAACAATGTTGTCATGGTCAAGCTTTTTCAACACGTCAAACTCTCTGACTTTAACATCTTGGGGTCGTGCATGACTTTGGGGGTTGAACATCTTTACTGCATATTGTAGGCCAGTTTTCTGTAAACAAATCATATTTTAACCAAGTATAATATAGTTGTAGTGTCCATTGACAGAAATGTTAAGTAAAATTAAGAATTCCCTTCTCTGTTATTTTTCCTACAAGGCATCATATTGTGACCTGTGACAAATGAAAATCCTTTAGAATGTTCTGGTAATTATCAACTATGATTTCACATTTCTTCTGTTTATAGAGTTTGATGATTGAATTCAATTATAAGTGAACATGCATAGATGAATATGCAGCTCTATAATCATGTATATGTGTAGTTTTCATCATTCAGGCTATTTGGACACTATAAATGCCAAGAAATATTTCTGTAAAGATAATAGTAGCTTATGATACACAATCTTAAAAAGCATCAGTTATTAACTCATGATATGACTTAAATGGATGAGCAATTTGAAACCATGTGACATGGAATGTTCTAGATTTCATGTATTCACTGAGTTCTAGAAGATGTGTAGACAATCATTCATGTTGAATTTTATTTGTTTTGGGTGTGTATATGCTCACACATTTGGAAAATTGCTTAAAGGGTGACGCATATCGTTTAGCAAATCGAACGCTCGTTTCTGGTGTTGCTCACCGTTTAGTATAAAAGGCCCGATCCCGGAATAATACTCAAGGGTTCACAGGTTCGAGGTCGTTGTGTCAACACCTCTAACTGTTATATAGCATAAGTATATTATAGATTGTCACACATTTATAAAAGGGTGATTTTTATTTTGACAAATCAATTCCACATTTTTTGGGTGAAGTTTCAGGATCTTCTATTTGTGTATAATAAGGAAAAATTGGCATATAAATTTCCCCATAACGTAATAGCACACAGCTTGGCATATGAAATATCCTACAAATGAAACAAAGCAAGACAAACCGGTTTCTAATACAAGGATTTATATTGGCTGTTGTACATGTATTCTTTGAACGCACACACTCTTTTGATAACGTTTTCAAAATCATTATAAACGGATTACTTTATCTCAAAGACAATTTCAATAAACTGGATTTTACAGAACTCCCCTTATTTCTTAAAAATGGACTGATCCAGTTGATTCGCCTGGAGCCGCCATATTGTTTTTATACGGGATGCTAAACGGGACCCTTTAAGCAAATGTGATATATAACAAATGTAAGTTGTGAATATTCACCTTTTCTCGGCACCTATACACAGTAGCAGTTGCTCCATGTCCTAATGCATCAGATTCATACCACACATAATTCTGCGACCCCCTAAGAGGTCCAGATCCTCTTGATGCAGGGGAACTAGACTGCGGCATGTTATCACAAGTTATGTGATTTCATTCATTGTGTTTTTGTTGTATTAAGGTCTTATCATGATGTTGCATATTTTAGCACTCCTACTGTATTCTCGACTGAACTTGCTTTTGAAGCCATTCACTAACATCTGAATGTCAATTTAACTGAAAATTTCATCACACTTTTATTATCAGAAATTGATTCACATTAACTGTGCTAATGACTCAAAAATCAGAAAATTTTAGTCGTAGGGCGAAAAGTCTAAGCCCAGAAAATCATCTCAATTTTTTTTCAAAAAACTGAAAATTTAGTGATCTGTTTTTCATAAGCACACAGAAGTGCAGTTCAAATCACAAACCTTTCATATGTCATTGGTTATTCACTGGTATATCCCGATTTAATTACCACCATTTTGTCGAAAACAACGCGAAATATTGTGTTCTTCGAAGAAAAACCTACGAATGAGGAAGTGACAAAAATCCTGGGGTTCCCCATTTGCATCAAATATACGAACGGTAGAATCTTTAAAAATACGAACGTGTTAATTATTAAACGTAACGGACAGTCAGCTCAGAGCCTGGAAGTGGAATATAATTATCACTGATATGCAACAGTATATGTATCCTCCATAGTGATTATACCAATTAATGAATATATAATATTAAAAAAAAACATCCGTAGAATGGATTTCCCTCGCAAATCAGGATTACTCGATTTTTCGTAGTCTGATCATTCCGATGAGTTTTACCGGTCACGACCGGGCAGTACTGGATTGGGCCAGTAAAAGGCCTTCTTTTAAAGTTGTGCACTGAATTTGACTGAAATATATTCTGAAAAGTCTGAATTTAGAATGTTGAGCAGGGACCTTTGAATTGAATACACTCAAAGGTCGGGCCATGCTCGGATGCTGCCCGACGGGGGCTAAAGGCGGAGGGGGCGGAGTAGGCCTAGCTGTACATGTAGGCTTAGGCCTACACCTAGCTAAGCCACGACAGGGGAGTGAGTCACCCCGGCCCTTACATATTTCTGCGACGGTTTAAAGACCATTAACATATGAGCGGCAAACTTTTTATGACTCGTACTTTTCCAAGTGATATGTTTCTCTTATTCCAAGATAGAATAATTGATTTGATTTTTTCTATTTTTGGTTGCCAATTTTCATCAAGATAAGAAGGAGTGCTCATTGCTCGTGATGTCAGCGGGGCGTGGTTAGTCCCCGTATTTAAGATATGCTGTATGATCAGAAGTTGAACTATTGATTTTTATAATGACCTTTTGCAAGTATTTGGCGAGTCATTATGATTTTGCCCTGAAATAGCATCTAATTTATTGTCTATCTTAATTTTGTAAGCATACTATCTGGTATCTGCAACTATTTTTGATATCAAGGGAATGGTTTTGAATTTGTTCTTCAATATGTATTGTAATGGTCTTTAGTATGAATGAAATGTCCTTTGGTCTTGTGGTTTTGGATTATGATAAGTTTTTCGAATGTCAGGCGGTATAAGACATTCTTTATTTACAATATCAGTTTGGGATACTTGGGGTTTGCTTTCTTTATGACTGATTTTACTCGTAATGCTTCATTCTCTCGCTTTGTTTTTAACACCTTTTAGTATTTCGTCGTTGACAATTGTGAATCCTTTTTTTACACCTCTCAGTTTAGGGATCAATCTCAAAAGGTCGATGTCGTAGTAGTGAATATTATTGACTGGGGTTGGGGGGGGGGGGTTCAATCCTTTATACCATGGTCAGATCAATATCAGGTTTATAACACCAAAGGTGATATCATCACGCCCAGGGAAATCTTTTGAGACTTCGTTTCGTTCTTTTCACATTCACGTCATCTATTAAATTACTAATTTCCAAACGAAATTTTTATGTTTTGACAGTCATAATATGAAATACATGTAACGTTTATATTTCCAAAATTAATTTATTGTTTTCTCATCAAGCATGTGGTTTTTGAAGTAGATAGTGCTCTTGATCATGGTATAAGGTCGTTATTCACCTGTCGGGATGATATGGGGGTATCCCTCGGAATATCGATAGTTTCCCTCGGTCACTGCGCTCCCTCGGGAAATATTCATATCCTTGTGATATTCCCCATATCAAATCTCTCCTGGTGAATAACTTCTTTTTAGACATCGAAGAATACTTAACATACTAGTATTGCAATTTTACCTCAATCCCCTGTCAGATATATAGTTTAGTGGGAGGCCTGTAGTTATCGTGTATTGATGTGATATTCTATATTCAATTTCTTAATCAGGGATGTGAAGCTAATGCGCGTGTCTCTCCTTAAAGGGGACCACCACCATGGTCACATGATCAGTCGTGTGGAGGTAAGCTCTCAGTTGAAATAAAAGCACTGTCCTCCTTTGGTTTATGTGAAAAGTAGCTAATACCCTCATGTATTGGTCAGTTTGTGTGTCACACGACTAATCCACACCATATGCTTCATTCAACATATTTTATGCTATTAAGCTGCATATAAAAACACTACTTTGCAGTAAAAACGTACTACTGGATGAACTAAGGTTAGGGTAATTAAATTAGTTGTTTCTCATTCTTGCCCGCGTGTGGCCCAATCCCCCTCCACCTTTTTCTGCCATTTCTGAGAAAAAAACACCGTACCTCGCGCGCATCCATGGCGTGTGAAACACTTTTTTTTAAACTTTTTATGGATCAGGATAATTGACAATATCGTGGTACTGATATCTGATCAAATATACCAGTAAAGTAGGCTAAATTCAACATAAACTCAGTTTATTTCCTTCAAAATTAGTTATTTGTTTTTACAGTTATTTTAAAGAAAAAAATCATCCCGTCCCTCATCAGCATTTAAGATAGACAAAAAGGTAATATAAAAACCGTCATTCCCGTATCAATTTTGAAAATAAGAAGAAAGAGAAACAACTAATTTAATTACCCTGGCCTTACATAAAATACAAAGCCACTAGCTAGCTCATACAGTATACTTACCCCTTGCAAATTGTAATTTATTGAATTCACAGTAAACCCAACAATTTAAAAAAAACAAAGAACATTGTTCTCATGGATCTATTATTCATGTTAAACTAACTATGAAAATATAAATATGAAATAATATGTTAGCTTGAAGTCATATACAGGGTGTCCAAAAAAAAACAGGACCGTAAGAAAGTTAAATAACTCGGTCAATTTTGCATATTTTGCCTTGAAATTTAAGAATTATTTAGTTCATTCAATGTGAATTTTTGTTCTGAAAGTTTGATGATAATCTGTTCATTGTGTCAAAAACTACAGTCCTTTACAAAACATGCTCAAAGTGGGCACTTCTCCTCTCTATGCACAAACGAATCCTGCGAACAAAGTTGTTAATGACCCTTCTATACACATTAATGTGGATGGTAAATATTGGGGTAGTTATTGCCCTCTTAAGATTGTTATGGGCCTGTCAGTATACACATTGGCTTTGAGAAATCCTCAAAGATAAAAATTTGGGGGATTTAGATCAGGCGAATGAGCTGCCCATATGGTTTGCGTTCTGCAACTGATGAGCTGACCACCAAAGCATTGCCTAAACCATTTTAGCATATCATTTGCAGTGTTGGGGTGGTATTGGCTTGTTGAAACCACTGCTTAATTATCTCATTAGATGTCCCTTCTGGTGCTTAGTGACCTCCACAACTTGGTGAGAACTTACTGGTCCTTGTTCATGGTGATAGCAAGTCCCCAGTCACCTTCGAACCAAAAGGGACTGATGATTCCATGTTTCCTCATTGCCACCCAGGGAGTGCATTGTTCAGAATGCAATGGATGCTGTAACACTTCATCAGGAGGATGTAAACCCCAGTAGCAATTGTTCTTGGAACAAACTTGTCCATTCAGGAAGACATGTGTGTAGGAGGATCATCAACAGCTTTGTTCGCCAGATTGAATTGTGCATAGAGATGAGATTTGCAGATTTGGGGCATGTTTTGTAAGGAGCTGTAGTTTTTGACTCAATTGGTAGATTATTATTAAACTTTCACAACAAAATTCACATTGAATGAACTAAATAATTCTGAAATTTCAAGGCAAAATATGCAAAATTGACAGAGTTATTCAACTTTCTTACGGTCCTGTTTTTTTTGGACACCCTGTATAAGATGAAAATATATGTTCATGCATTTGCATTTTTCCATAAGGGAATATATTCCCATGTAAGTAAATACAGGTGCAATATATAAGTTATATTATGAGGTTATATAATGGTTGATTCTGTATATCGTGTATGATATATTCACGAGTGACCGAAGGGAACGAGTGAATATATCATATACTCACGAGAGTATAGCGATATACAAAATCAACCATTATATGATCTTATTATCCCACCCTAATCTTTAATTAATAAAAGGTTAATCTAAATTCAGCAGTTGTATATCGAGTCGAAGAGTTGTATACGCGGCCCAGGAGTTGTATACGCTATCCAGGAGTTGTATATCGTTCTCAAGAGTTGTATACGATGAGTGTTGGTTTTATATTGCAGTTATACAATGCTATTATACAATCATATAAAGCACTTAGGGTGGGATAAGTATATCTATGTCATCTGTCTATACATGCGCGTATAATATAGTGATACATTTGAACAAGATGGTTCTGGAAAGAAATGAGCGTGGCAGATTTGCTAAAAAGCCACATACACCACAAAAGCAAGACCAATTTGAAAGTAAGTTCATTATTCTCAAGGGTACACTTCAAGTGAAAGCTACATTGCTACAGGGTGGCCTATCATTCTGAGACAAATGTATTATCCAACGATTGTGATTTTCGAAGCTAAAATATGATATCCTGAGCAGATGGAAATACATTCCCATGAGATATGTATATATGGTCAAAAGTGATAACTATTTATTGAGTGTAATGAAACGTATCCTTCGCTAACTGCTTTTGTTTGAGATAATTATCATGAAATAATTTTAAATTAATTTTTATGTGTGTCATTGATCCTAATCCACCCTGTAGTCTGGTGTTTGTAGAGTATTGCACCTCGTACAACTTATTCTCACAAATATCAAACCTCATTTACTAATTAATTTTTTGTATGAATATGAAGAGTCCAAGCATTGCTTTTTTATGTTTACTGTATAGCTATATTTAGCCTTGATATCCATAATTTTTTAAAACAAAATCTCACCGTTAGATTTCGAGCTATTCATGTTTACTCATTTTTCTAATTGGAAAACAATGCAAATCTCATTTTTTCAAAGGAAAAAAATTGAAATTCTAAGACGGTGAAAAATCATTAAAAAATACACAGATTCAGAATCCGGCAAGCATTTTCCCTTATTCCTCTCCGTTAAGAAGTTTTGTAAGGTGTTGGATCCCTTTAAATATAGATAGTAGGGAGGTTAAGATACACGTTTTAAAAAAACTTGTACGTGAACGTGTAGAATTATGTTCCTCTGTGGACTAGTTCTCCCATTTGTGCTGTTTACTTGGCTGATTGATTATAAAGGTTTACGGAAAATAATTGTAATTAGATCCTGGACAAGTGAATTAAGAGCACAACAGTAATCCCTGGGTGTCGAAATATTACACGCGCAGTCGCGCACGTACAGGTTCTATAAAAAAAACGTGTAACTTATTGTAATGCAAACACCAAGTTTCCAAAAAACAAATTTAGCACAATGAAACTTTTTTTATCTAAATCCATTTTAATTTATTCCATTGTTAACATGTCATTCAAATATACATCATCTAATACATAATACAATATCAGCAGTTGTTTATGTTTTCTGAGATCTTAAGTAGAGACAAAAAGGACGAACGGTTCTTTTATTAGATCAATCGTTTTTGCATCCATTTTTTCCATTACTTGTTTCTGTTGGTGCTCATAGTCTCATCAAGCCCTGCTATCCGCCCGCTCCCTAGGGGATTAATTAATACAAGATCAGACTACCCGTATTCACACATCAATAGCATTTATTAAAAAAAATTACGGCTCGATCTGCGTGCCTGTATATGGAATATAGGGGAATCCACTAGACTACAATGGGGAGACAGGATCACTGAACGCATTCTCATAGCTACAGACACTAGGATGACGAATTTCCTAGATACACCTGACGATGTAGATAAACTTGTCATGGAAGATACAGTAATTCACTCCTTAGATATTTATAAATATTCATTCCCACCGGGTATCATTCAATTCAACCCACAGGCGCGTATTGCACATTTAGTATGGTCGGAATCACAGTTGAAGTGAGGCAAGCGTGGGTTAAGCACCGGAAGGACTAGTGCTAGACTGACACAATAGCATTCAACTGGATCTAGTACTGGACAAGTAAAGTACCAAGTACTCCACTAGGGCACTTGGCTTGCACCGAGCCAAGAGTCTGGTCTAACACCTACATCAGGCAACAAATATCAACATGTTTGGCACTCTCCTTCATAATGATCATCATCTTCAATAACGCTGTTGTGAACTATTGCTGCCGTTCACTCCCGTTTTATATTTTTCTTCTTGAGCAATGCATTTCGTCTTATAGCGTCGATACTGGTAGATGCCGCATATAGATGTCGCTGTAACAGTGGGAACGATGAGCAAACACAGACCTATTACCAATGTAATGTTGTTGGCGTTGTTCGAGCCATGCATTGTAAGCAGTATACCTAAGAAGCAAAGCATCAATATGTCACTAAAATTATAATTTAATCAAGAATCAAAAACATACAATTGTAATTGTTTTTTAGGTCAAAGTCAATATTTCACCCGGTATGTATTCGTCAACAAAGCACCTGGTAATACGAGTAATGTGTGACGTCATAACGGCGGGCCGTAGTAATGGCGGACAATGATGAATATTCGAAACATTTTGGTGAGTTTTCATGTTCGAATCGTAATATAGATCTCAGAGCAGGTGTAGTATCGTCGAATACACCCCTTAATTAGGACTAGGCACTTCGGTCGTTCGGGGTACAGGAAATGTTTGTGCCTAGCCCTGCGGGGTGTATTCGACAGTATTTCCCCTGCTCTTCGCGATCGGTCTAAATTTCTTAAATTGAATAAATTTTGGTGAATTTTCATGTTCAAATCGTAATATAGACCTCAGAGCAGGTATTATATCGATGGATACATACCTTAGAGCTAGGCACAGAAGCTTTCGACCCCCTCACTCCCTTCGATCGTTCGGGGTACAGAAAACGTTTGTGCCGACTTAGGAAACCGACTTGGGAATTACAACTATTAGTACTGTATTTACCTGTGGGTATTACAAGAAGGAAGTAGACGAAGCCTAGAGTACCAATCAGACATCCCTTGAAACAGCAGAGCCCTCCACAGAACTGCCTTTCTCTAATGATCGCATCATCATCATACTCTGAAGTCTCTGAAATTGTAAATACAATCGCGTAAAATAAAGCGGAATCTACCAGGTGTTTTCTACCACTGTCTGGCATTGCTTATTCTAATCTCCAGTTCTCCACTCTTTCTCATTTTAAGTATGTTTGATTTCCACGATGATTTCATGAAATTTGAGAAAACCTTTGGTATCACGATATATTGTAAGATTAAGTAGAATATATTCATATCTCCTCTTTGAATTTTAACCATTTACAATAAGAAACATAGTTGAATCATATTATGTATTGTTTTTTTTACTATATTCGATAGCCTTGATTAATCCCTATATATTCATGGTCACCACGTACGCCCATTTATTCACCGCGTACGCCCATATATTCACCACATACGCCCATGTATTCACTACATACGTATCCCCATGTATTCACAACGTACGCCCAAGTATTCACCGTATACGCGCATGTATTCACCACGTTCTATCATTTGTTAACCACGTTCCCGCGGGTATTCATCACGTATGCCCATGTAACCACATGCACTAAATGTATTTACCAGTACGCCCATGTATTCTCCCCGTATGTTCATATATTTTCACCACGTACACGTCCATGCACGTATGTATCCACAACGTACGCCCATGTATTCACCATGTACGCCCATGTAATCGTGACGTATGTCAAAGTATTCTACAAGCACCCCCGTATTTACGTATTTACAACGTACGCGAATATATTCACCACGTCCGTCCATGTGTTCAACCCGTACGTCCATGTATAACCAGCTACGCGCATGTTTTAGATTCACCTGTTTGATCCAGGTCTGAGAGGGACTCCAAAGTCAGTTTTGTAGAACTTTCCCAGTTTCCATCCATTCGATCATCTACAAGTTATCAACGATATCCACCCTTCGATCTGTATTGTCTCTTGATAAATCACGATACTTTGAAATGCGAGCTCTTCAATTTCATATTCCTTGGAAACTAGATTTATTCTTCCTTGTTTCAATACTAACTCTAATAAAGATTAATGGTATCTATGCATATGTTAATGGTAGAGATCTCGTTCTCTTGATGCTTACTTATTTTACGTGACCAGAGAGAGGTGGTATGTTTGCTTGTGGATTTACTACAGTGTTGAGCTTTACACTTGTTTGTACTATGTACAGGCAGATGAACAAATAAATATGCAATATGCCAGACCAACAATTATCTAATTGTACATACATGAACTGATATAGTACATGCAGGTACATGGTATTACCTGAGGAATAAATGCCAGGTATGATAAGTGCTCCAAATTAAAGTGTAACATTATGTGTGTAAACCTGTAAAGGCTGCCTACTGAGTTGTGTAATTGCCTACGATGTTATATACAAGAGAGTTCTTGGCAGATATGCATGTAATTATCGAACAGGGTTTAGTAATACTTAAGACTTATAATTGACTCAAATATCATTTCAATTCAAAACGCCTTAAGGTTATTATTTCCAAGCAACACTTTTGGAAAAATGTTATACCTGCCCATGTTATTTTCTGGTATAAAATAAAGTATGAAGGCATGTTGTGTGAATTTCCTTGCTTTTTTCAGGAAAGTATCATTACATTGTCCTCTCTAATACCTGGGTCACATTTGCTCCGATTCATCGGCCGGCGCCCGGCCGATTGAGTATCCTGTTCACAAATGTATTCAGTTTTGAACAGAATACTAAATCGGCCGGGCACCGGCCGATGAATCGGAGCAAATGTGACCCAGGCATAAGTAAACCTAGTAAGTGGTCAATGGAAATCCAGTGTTATTGAGAAACTTGGAGAAGAAATCTGAAAAATTGAAAAGGCGGCCATTTTGAATGATTTTTCTTGAAATATTAGCATTTCCTGGAGTTGTCATTGACCTGTTACCAGGTTTACTAAAAGAAGACATTGCAAGGATACTTTCCTGAAAAAGGCAAGGAAATACACACATGCCTCCATACTTTTGTACAGGTATTTTTTCAAAGATGTTGTTTGGAAAGAATAACCTTAAACTTCAAATTAACCTTAAACTACAATATAGAGAATGTAAATTATGTAATATTTGAAGTGAACTCATGTAGAATAAAAATAGAGGGTCAAATCATAAATTGGAGTAGGTGAGGAACGAGTCAAAAAGGGATGCATTTGCAATCCCCCTCCACGACACAAAAACAGTTTTCAAGACACAGGGCTCGATCCATCGCTACATACATATACTTATTCAATACAAAGTATCTTGAACGAATAATTATTCAAACGACAATACATATTACTAACGTCGACCCAAATCTGAACTTATTCGAGACCATTTTAGCAATTTCATCATGGCCGCGTGTATGTTTAACAAGACCCTTTAAACACGATATGGTTACGATAGCATAGAACATATATATTATAGCATGCAAGAACCTTTAACTACATATTGTATTTAACTTATTGTATTGTGTTTATCTAGCTTATCATAATCGGACTTTGTTGATGTACAAGATAGGTATAAAATCGTAGAAAAATAGAACTCTTTCGAGTTAGAAAATGGATAATTGTGCATGCGAACGTTAATTTTGCCATTTACTTATTCTCGGTTTCAACATCTGTTCCGCATCCAATTGTAAATGTGTATGTTCATATAAACTCATTCACTATTGATCGAAATTGAAGTGATGTTAAAGTTAACGCAATATATACTGCATATTTTCACCTGATTCAATTGATTTACTATTAAGTTTCTTTTCATCGCAAGAAATCTATGATGAAACAGCTAACTCGCTGACTTAAAGCATTTTGTTCTTAATTCATTGTTTCAGGTACACTCCCCTCCATACATATGGCAATCGCTGACTTACATACCCTGCGTGCAGAGTATAATTAAACTATACTCTGCCCAGTAGAGACCATATTACAGTTTAGTAGCCCTGCCCCCACGACGGGTACCGGTGACAGTTTGGGTAATAAATAACTTTTGACCTACGCGCTGACCTTTCTTCTACCAATCAGCGAGCTTGAAGAAACATACGCCAAATGCGTTCTAATTAAATATGCGCATGTCATTGGTCAATTCCGGGCTCAACGATGACATCAGAAGGAATGACCATATATAGAACGTCGGTCAAATTTGGCCGATGAGCACTGATTGGCGCGGTGAGTTCACAGGTTTATTTTAGTTTGAAAGAGTGAAGACGAAGCTCTCTTTTAAGAGTGAAGTCAAACGAATGCAAAGGGTATGACTTACAGCGTTTTGTTCTTAATTCATTTTTTCGGATACACCTGCTTCCATACACATGGCAATCGCTGTGATTTAAAGCGTTTTGTTCTTATTTCATTGTTTCAGATACACTCCCTACATACATATGGCAATCGCTGACTTAAATCGTTTTGTTCTCAATTCATTATTTCAGGTACACTCCCCTCCATACATATGGTAATCGCTGACTTAAATCGTTTTGTTCTTAATTCATTGTTTCAGGTACACTCCCCCCCATACATATGGCAATCGCTGACTTAAAGCGTTTTGTTCTTAATTCATTGTTTTAGGTACACTCCCTACATACATATGGCAATCGCTGACTTAAATCGTTTTGTTCTTAATTCATTGTTTCAGGTACACTCCCCTCCATACATATGGCAATCGCTGACTTAAAGTATTTTGTTCTTAATTCATTGTTACAGGTACACTCCCCTCCATAAATATGGCAATCGCTGACTTAAAGAGTTTTGTTCTTAATTCATTGTTTCAGGTACACTCCCATCCATACATATGGCAATCGCTGACTTAAATCGTTTTGTTCTTAATTCATTGTTTCAGGTACACTCCCCTCCATACATATGGCAATCGCTGACTTAAATCGTTTTGTTCTTAATTCATTGTTTCAGATACACTCCCTTCCATACATATGGCAATCGCTGATTTAAAGCTTTTGTTCTTAATTCATTGTTTCAGGTACACTCCCCTCCATACATATGGCAACCGGAAGGGTGTTTAAATGTTTAAATGTGTAAACAACTCATACTTTGATACAATTGGTATATCAAAACAAAGATTACATGGATTATCAAAATTTGGCATTGGATTACTTATATACCAACTCTTTAGGTTACAATTTACGTTCAAAACCTTCAGAGTACTAACCAATATAAGAAAAGAAACCGTTATAAGAGAATTCATAAATAAGTAATCAAAAACGAGAGAAGTCACTTCTATTGCAATTGTTTTCAATTTAAACAAATCAATGTCGATCACTATAAAATGCTAACAGCATATTGATAAGTACATCGATCCAAATATTTTATACAATAACGCGCTTATAGCCATTTTGGCAATTGTTGAAAAGTGTACCCATGTCGAATTAAGATAACAGTTTTGCAATAACAACATAATCAACACGAAATATTTAAATACATTATTTATGAGCACCATAAAACATCTTGTTTAAAGTCATATAGGTCGATATTAAAGGTTTTACCTTCATATCATTTGTAAGAATACATATTCACTCCACTCACTCGTTTATCCATCATATGACATTTGACATTGGAGTCATATGTTATTTTCAGGAACGCATAACTCATTCTACATACAATTATACAATCTACATCTTAGAGTTTTGCACAAAGAGTGCACGAAGCATGTTTCTGGAAAAGAGTAAAGAGAATATTTTTTTGTTTTTGTAAAATTTGAAATAATGAGAAAATTCGATGACCTACTTTTTAAAAGTACAAAATAAGTAGGTCGCTGACTTTCTCATTTTATACAACTTATAATAACTATTCTTTTCACTCTTTTCCCGATACATTAGTGCACTCTTTAACGCAAAATAATGAAAGCTGTAGATCGTATATTGAATGGATCCAAGGAGGATTGCATAACAATTCCAAACATACACACTTACCTTAAACGCTATTGTAAAAACATAAACTGTAACATACACCATCAGAACTCACCTGTAACAGGGCTCTCTGGGCGACGGGAACTGCCATTAACGTTATAGCTGCCAAACCTGTCTATGAACGGGAACACTTTTATATTCATCAGCTAGTTGTGGATTGTCATCTGTCACACAGCTGATATAGTGATAACTTCATTTTCATTTTTGATCTCCGACACGAAATCATCTGCAGTCTCGAAGTGAATAGTCCAAAGCAATCATTTCTTTGTCGAAATATAAACTAATTTATATACTACTGGCAACTTGGGTCATTTATGTGTATACTTGAATCTGTATAGTACCTTTGTTAAAATAATAAACTTATCAAGTTATTGACTATTTGATCTCCACCAATGGTATTGTCCTCTCACCTATTATTTACATGTTGCAACAATCATGCAGGTTCTACCAATATTTTGAGTGCTTCTACTTATCACTACAACACAAACACACACTGTTGTAGTGTTAATAAATGAATGGCCCTGTTGGTAACGTATATGTATATCGATCATCTATTGTTTTTAGACTATTGTATTTTTCCCTCATCCGGACCACTCGTTGATCTGGTGTTAATGAATTGGATCAACAACATATAATAATTCTCTTTTATGCATACACATAACATACAATACCTTTGAGGACGTGACCCTATAAGAGTGTTATATTATCTAACCGAATTTATTTGCTTTTTTGCCTTTCGATCATCGCCCACGGTGATATCCACTTGAAAACGTAACAATTACACGTAGAACAACATCGTGTACATATCAATGGTGTAGATATCTGTATAACTATAAAACCAATGGGTAAATCATGATACTCATCTTTCCGTTACACTCGAAACTACACAATGAACGACCTGGTATTCTTTGAAATCAGCTCATCCGATTTGGAGAGTGGCAACTACCATTAAATGTGATGACCATCATTGTCCATAATGTCCAATCATTACATAATTATAGGCATTATCTAGGGCATTATATTATATTGCTACTCATATCAATTCTGACAGGAGTGTTATACAGGCTTATTGACCACTAATATATTAGACGAATAACATCCGAGACAAAACATCTAAAAATACTAAATGTAGCATCAAATCTAATTTCCATAATACCATGTAATGGAGATGGCGTCGTTTATCAGGACGATTGCTGCAATATTGTGTTCGTGCTGTCACTTGGTAAGCACAATATGTGCTGCCATCTTTCTAACGTTTATGGATTTCTTTTATCGACATCTATAGACGTATCTCATTGTATCATGATGTATATATTTACAAGTTATATCATGGGCTTTGAATTAAGCCCATGGTTAATCTAAGGGCCAATGTGACTCATTTTCAATCCTTCTTAAATTGACAAATACACGCATCCAAAAGTTTTTGACTAGTGGGACTTTCGCTTCTCATTAACTATATTCAAAAAATAACTTTTCTCTCTTGTCTTTCTTCATGTACTATTTTTTTTTATTTATGTTTCAATTTTATATTTTTATTGTTACGTTTTTTTGTGCCGTCGGTTGGCGTCCGTCGGTCGGCGGGTAGCGGTTAGTGGTTGGCGGTTGGCGTCAGTAACAAATTCTTACAACTTCCAATAACTTAACAAATAATGTTTAGACTGACTTCATTTTTTTCTAAATCATCTACAAATTCACAGAAGGATCAAATCTGAATTTCGATTGATTTGACATTTGACTTCAATGACCTTCTCTAGGTCAAAAGAGGTCTCATTTCAACTTTCTTCAAATTGACCATTTTTAAAAAGATCAGTCTTCAAGTTCTCAGAAGTTCAAATCTGACTGTTGATTTTAGTAGATCTGAGGAACTAGGTGGTGACTTTAGATTTGATATTTGACTTTCATTGATGACCTTCTCACATCAAAAACGTCTTTTCAACTTGCTCTAAATTGACCAAATATTTATTTCAAAAGCATCTACAAGTTCTCAGAAGTTCAAATCTGACTGTAGATTTTAGATCTGAGCAACAAGGTGGTGATATTTGTCATGTTAATGCCTTGTAATCACAAAATTGTTTTTTTGTACTTTTGTTGCAAAACTATTTATAATGGATATTGTTCGTGTTGATTTACATTTTAATGAATATTGAAAAGAACTCATTTACCGCATTTACTCATGGCCGCATTTAGTCTACGACGGGCGTACGGCGGTCGTAACTTCAAAAAATCTAAACAGAGAATTTGAATCGTACTGCTTATCCCTATATTTTATGCTCTATATTTTTCTCCCTATTTTGCAAGGTACGGCCGCCGTACAATTGCCGTAGATCAAATGTGACATTGTAGTTGCCCATGTAACAAATAAAGTGTATATTCTAATTGTTTGATTCTGGATGCTTCGGTGTAGCTATAGCTATGCGGCAGGACTTGCCCAACTTTGACAGAGAAAGTCTTTTTCGACCGAAACTATAAAAATCCTATCACATTGGAGTATATCGGATGTCCCAAAAAGGTCTCATCGCGGAGCTCCGCCGGTATGGGATTTTTGACATGCTATTTGGAATTTCTTAGTACTCTCATTACATTTATTTTATCTTTTTATATGTTACTACAACTTGCTCATAATACTCCTGGGCTACTTTGTTAAACTTTTCATGGAATTTGATACATGTATATCAATTGCCGAGAAAATACTTGTCAAAAAGCGATTCATCTTTTGGGACCCCTGATATTATTAACTTTTAGCGAGTCCTGTCTCATCCATTCTTGACTGTTTTCGGATCCTGGCAACGCCCAAATTTTTTTCCTCTGACCTGAAATTTGCCCCCCCCCCCCTTGTTGGTTCCCAGATCCGTCCCTGGATCTATTATTAACTTTTAGCGAGTCCTGTCTCATCCATTCTTGACTGTTTTCGGATCCTGGCAACGCTTCTGGTAGCTCTTTTGGTTGCTTTGCATTTTTGTTCACGACGTCTCAGTTTTCTAGACTTCTTCATCTATTGGATAGACGAAAGTCTCCACTTGTCTTTCTGATGACACACGATTATAGGTTGTTTCTACGGGGGCGATAATAATGAAATTCCCTTAAATAAGACATAAAGTCAATAACCGCTATGGTGATATCCATCGTGAGATATCACAGCCTTCTCTCAGCTTCCTTCTAGAACTTGTGCATAGCAGAGATGGCCTGAGTATCAGAATTGGTGATATCACTCTGACACTAAATAGAGCAGGTGTTGAAATGTAAAAATCCATGGAACCTTTTTGAAGTTGTGGATTTATGGCTTACCGCAAATACCAACATAAACAAATAAGGATGGTGTCAAATTATCAACAGTCGTGGAAAAACAAAATTAATTTCGTTATGGTTTGACGACGATAATTTAAAATGCTGATTTGTCAATTGAATATTTAAAAATTCACACTCGTCGCTAAAGAAACCATAATTTCACACTACTCCCAAGGAAACCTCGCTATTCCACAACTGATAATTGGACACAGTTCCTAAGGTTCACACCATCCTTTGACATAAGAATTCATAAACATTTTTCTGTTGGCTTCAATACTTTTGGCTGGAGTAATGAACTTGTACTTTGCACATTCCGTGAAGATTTCACTTGGACATATGATTGAATAAACAACAATGTTAGATAGATATTATGAGTTTACAACTCAAATTCCCCGTGTAGGTCTTTATAAGTGCGACTAACAGCAGAGTTAAACTCCTATGGCAGTGCCTCTCTATATATCGGATTGATTAATTCGGTAAAAGTCTAGGGGCGGATCTGGGAACCAACAAGTGGGGGGGGGGCCCAAATTTCAGATCAGAGAAAAAAACTTCCGGAAAATTTTTTTTGGGCCCCTAAAACCCAAAAGTGGAGTGGTTTGAAATTTTGAGGCCCATTTTCTTCAAAATTTGGCCTAGAATTTAAAAATAAGGCCTTAAAAGGCCCAGTAATGACCAAAAAGGTCCACTTTTTGGGGCCTTGTGGCCTTTTTTGGCCCAATTTTTTTCTGGGCCGACCCAGCCTCCCCCCCCCCCCAGATCCGCCAGTGAAGTCTATCACTTGATGACGTCGAATCTCGGGTCAAATTTCGGAAGCTTGTTAGTGTTGTTAAACATTTCAAAAAAGTATTTTCAAACATTTCGAATCTGAGAAAATAGTTAAAAATATCCAGGCTTGCTCTATTGATTTTGGATCAAATAGTACCGAGAGAATGTTTGTGCCATAATTGATCTGTCTGGAGAATACGGATAGTTCTGCTTCAGTCTGGAATATTTACAAAGCTGTTGCCTGGCTGGGATGCTGCTGTGTGTTATCTCTAAACTGAATCACGATGTAATATTTTCTTCCCCTTTCCCAGGTATTAACCAATGAGAGCTTACCTGCAACTATCCTTCAACTCATCAATCCAGTTATCCAATCAAATACTTTCCAAGAACCAAAACTTCCGTAATCACAGCCAAAGGTCGCATAATAGTGATTAATTATAGATGTTGCTGCTGGGCAGGTACGTAATATACCATCGCCATGGTAACATACCTTTTCCCTGTAAGTCGATTACAGAGCGGGCCAAGATAACTCGCAACTGTTCATTTTTATACATTTAGAAACAAAGTTAACTTGGTACCCGGGGCTTGGCTTACTAAGCTACTATCAGTAAAATAAAAAGCCAGCTTTTGCCCATCCTCCGATCCAGAATATACTCTTTCTTTTTACCCCCTGCGATAAGCAGTTACCTTTTCCCCGATTAAGAACTCGCAATCTGATTGGCTGTCGCAACACCTGCGACAGAAATCATGTATAAGTATTGCGCATAATTAGATCACGTGATTTAGTTAAATCGGGCGCTTCCAAATTGGTTATAGCAGGGGGAAGAAGGAGGTACGGATTCTGGACACCTGCTTAGGAGGATGGCTTTTGCCAAGAAGAGGGGTCACTTTCTAAACAATCTCAGGGGTTCATGGCCCATATATGTCGAAAATATCTTGAAAAGTGCTCAGCATGGGCCATTGACAACAAATGCAGGACTTTGAATGATTTTTTTTGTCCAGGGGGGGAGGTCGAATCCCCAAACCCCCTGCTAGCTGGCTATGGGTCTGTCGGCGGATGAACCCGAGAAGGAAATCTATACTAATCAAGAGATCGCGATCGGTTAGTAATAACTTTGAATAACGGGTTGAGAATCAGTGGAAGTAGGGGTGACCTTTGACGCAAAATAAAGTTTGTGTCAACCACACACAAATACCAACCGATTGTTTTCTTGGAACATGAGGTTACGGTTTCCTGTTGACAAAAGCCCATCGGATTGTTGAGAGTTTAAGCGATTATTGCTTCTGAATCGAATATTCAAAACTCAATATAACGATTATCCTATTTTAATTATTCATGACTGAAAGATTATTAGAGACACAAAAGGGCAAAGTTTAAGAGCCATGAGATAGTAAATACACAGCCAGTCGATGAGATAATTGATAATCAAGTTATTTTTATTCTATTGCATCATTTAAATGACTGATAAGCGTACATGAACAAAAAAGTCAGAACATTTCCTCATGTCGGCTTTAATCTTTCAAACCTTTTGAATGAACATACACGAACTATGAGCATTGTAGTAGTGTCCGTATTTTCCCACCCTGTATATGATTAACAGTCTGAGCATAGTCTGTGATAAACACCGTACTGTTATGCCGAAAGTGTGTCAAAGCTCCGCGGATAAGATAAATCTTGAGTAGTAAATACAAACATCCGACAGAATCATTTACCCGTTGAGTGGGCGATGGCTTAAAGTATAAATCAACGAGCAGTTGCCGCTGCAAACCATTCTGTGGACGGCTCAAAGAGAGTGCAGGAACACAGGAGCACATCAAGAAACCGTAAATTAATCGAATTCACTGCCGGTTGTCAGATATTAGAGGAGCAAGATAACTTTGGTGAAAATAATCGAACAGATAAGTGGCCGGCGCGCATATAGCACAGACCGACGTGTATTAGAACAGCGTTCCTGATAGATCTAGCTAGAAGTCATCGGACACTCCGAGTGAAAAACTACAGGACGCGATGATCCTGAAGAAAGGGATGCATTTGGTGATGGTCGGGATGGGGTTCCTTTGTCTCATACATGCTGAAGAGGTAAGTGTCTCGAACAGAATAGAATAACAAAATTACGTAATAAACATTCTCGTTTCTTCGTTCCTTTAGAGCCATTTTTATTTTAGAAATGACGATTTAAGGCCCGGGTTTAAGGATCAATGCCATTGTCTTAAATAGGTTCTCATAAGATAGTAAAATATCATGCAATTTCAAATTAATTTCAAAGGCAGAACTTTTTCCTATATCATAATGGTTTAAAATACTCAAAATACTTAACACGTTTTATCATCAAGTACCACGGTTGAAAATAGTTGCAATATCTCAAAACATATGTGCACCGTGGGGGATAGGGGATAGCGTTTCATTCCAACAGTTATATTGACTAGATATAGAGTATACGCAGGCAATCGATGTTCTAGAAGGGCTTAGATTTCACCAGCACGCAAGTTGGGTTATAAAGTCACAGTGGGTCAAATGGGAATGTGGGTGCAAACTGCAAACATAATCATGGACGGTTAAGAACGGGAGGTAATCACCAAATAAATAAAATCAAATGAAAGCTAGCCCTTGTTTTTTCAATTTGTAAGAACTGGTCGTTCGTTGATAAAGTGCATTGCACTCCCTTCGAACGGAACATTAACACGGTGACCAAGAGTTAACAGTGCAAATCGGCCCGGTCGTGTTTTTTTAAACTCTTTAGTCGTGTTTTGTTGAAAATTTGAGAGGTAGGTTGATAAATTTGGTCATGAAATTGCTGTCACTTGACTTTATGTAAAAGTAAGTAATTTATATTGCTTTCCATACTATATATCGTAACTTCAGGAATTCTTAAACGTGTTATTTGCACGAATCGTATGCTATAGTCTTGTTATATTGGGAAATGAGCAATTCTGTCAGTGTTATACATATTTTTGCCTGAAAATCACTTGCCTGACTTGTATTCAATGAATACATCGATTCATAAGGAAAGCATTCACAATATGTGCGAAAATCAAAAGTTAGAAGAGCTTAAATAAGTAGCAATTGACCGAATAATATTTTTTAGATTAAACTCTTTAGACGTGTTGAAAAGATTGCGGTTAATGACGTTGACCTGTTAGTGAAACGTTCTAGACGTGTAGAGACATTGAGGTTTAACGATTTGGAAGTGGGAAACAGCACAATTAACATTATGTATTTCCCCAAAAAATGATCACAATGTGGAAGAAGTTGTTGTCTGAGTGACACTATCTTAATTATAAATGATTAACAATAATCAAATGTACGACATAATATGTCAAGATTGATCTATGGGATCACTACCGAATTTGATACTTAAATCAAAATGGTTAGAATCAGACACGCATGGTTAATGCAAGCGAGCTTTGCCTCGTCGCTCGTCATTTTGAAAATTTGACCAGTCATATTATTTTTTAATTGCCCTGTCGCTCATTAAATGGCTCGTTGCTATTTTTGAATTTGCCTAAAATACGTTTTAAAACGTCCCTATTGGCCTTAAACTCACTTTTCCCTGTCATGAACGTAAATAAATTTATTTAAAATGAGAGGAAATGTTTAGTTTGTGATGCACTACATGTAAATGCATATATAGTGATAAAGGAATTGACAAATATTTGGAAATTACCTCCTGTTCAAGTTCCAATCATTTTTATAGATTATATTGATAGATTTAATATCACTGAATATGATATTGCTTGTTGAGGATCACACAACATTACCATTTATCATTTATTTGAGATTTAAGCAGGGGTCCATTATTTTAAGAAATAATCGTTTTAAAAGATTTCTTGTGAATAGATAATAAATAAGTACAAAAAGCATGAATTATTATATACTAAGAGCATAATGTAAAATGTCAACTGAAAAATTAGATCAAAATGGAATCCATGTTCACAGTGGGGGGTATAACTCATCAAATACTGGATAATTTTTTTAAAGCTTATTGTTACAGTATAATGTTTTAATTTGCTTTTTTTAGTTAGGATTATAGCATTGACCATTTATGAATTTTTGAGCACCATACAAAGTTACAGAACTTCATTTATGAACGATTTCAGCAGGGGTCTATTTTATAAATATTAAATATTTTTCCGGATAGTTCTTAGATGAAAAGCTAGTACATTGTTACAATTAAATTACATCATTGAGGTGTATAAATCATGAAAACAGGTTTCATCCTGGTGTCTTCAACCTAATTCGTATAACGCCACGTCACAAATGGGGGGAGGGGACATTGACTTCAACTTAGGGATCTTTATTACTTATATGATTTCAATATTACAGTAATGTTCGGTAACATTATAAACAGGCATTAAATAAGTGTAGACTATCATAAATACGTTGACAGCAAGAAGATTTATACAATTTAAACTGTAAAATGAGATAACAATGGGCTCTAAAATCACAATGATTGGTGTAACTAATCAAATTTTTACTTTATAAGCTTAGTATCATGTCCTAACAATTTAAATTAATTTTAAATAGTTATCCCATTGAACGAAAATCGGAGGGATATAGGGAACGGGCCTCCATCCGTCCATCCGTCCGTACGTACGTGCGCCCGTTCGGGCAATAACTCAAATACCGTTGGCCTGATTTTGTTCATATTTTGTACACATATACCCTCTGGGGGTAGAAGTTCTGATTGAAAGCCGATTTTCAAAATGGCCACTCATTTAAAATAGTGGCCATTTTAGTGCCGATTTTACAGTTATTTAGGTGCAATATGTAAAAGTGTAAAAGCAATATCTTTTAAATGAAAAAAAATAATAAAGCTAGAAATGTAGATATTAAAGAAGCACATGGCTGCCATATTGAAAAATGATGGCCTTTACTTGTTATTTTACAATTTTTGCTGTAACTCGAAAAGTAGTGGAGTGATTTCGTTCATATTTGGTATGTGAATACTATAAGCATGGCACACTGTCTAATGACACTTTTTGGAGAAGGCGGCCATTTTAAACAGAGCCGCCATTTTAACGTATTTTACTATAACTCAAAGTTGTGGAGCGATTTTGATCATCTCTGGTATGTGAATACTATAAACATGGCACACTGAATTTTTTGAATATCTTAAAGTGGTTCAGATTTTCATTTATTGAAGATTTAATTCAAGATTAATTCAAAAAGATTAATCTTTTGTGGATAGTTCTCGGATCAATTACTATTATTACCACCTTGTGGGGCATGTTTTAGGGGTATTAGTGCTAGTTTAGATGGCATTTATGTTACTATATCGACCTGAGCAATAATTCTAATTATTCCATAGTTAGCATGATATTCATAGGATAACATGTCGAAATAAAAACAGTATTTTTGTAATCAGTGGTAAAATATGATATTTTTGACAAATTTTCACTTAACCATAGCATACGGTTTTTTAGCCATGACATACGACGTCGTATGCTATGGTTTATGGATTTTTGCTACTTCAGACTCAAAACGAGGCTTAGTGTAAACATCGCCGGATCGTTTGGAAAATTCGAAATAAATCACTTCATTTCCGACGATTCTGATGATGACTTTAACTATGGAATAAAAAGAACATCCTATGATTTACTCGTGATATGATTTTAATCCACTCATGGATATTGATATCTGCACTCTCTCGCTACGCTCGCTCGTGCAGATATCATATCCATTCGTGGATAAAAATCATATCACTCATAAATCATAGGATATCCTCTATTAACGTCATTCCTGCGGGCAATATTAAACAAATACTGGATGATCAGGAGCTGGATATGGCAGAATACCTATTCAAGAAAAAAATATTGGGCCGAGACGATATTAATTAATTTCAATAGAAAGATTGGGTTCTAGCATTGCCTCATAGGACAGTCTATTTTCATTACAACTTTTGGTCCTTTCCCTTGGCACTAGTGCTTATATATTTCTACTAAATAAAATAATCAGGGTAAACGCTTTTCTATTACTAATTAAAAGTTATTTGGTTGTAGAGATGCTTGTAGAGCCCGTATCGCAAAAATCATATATCCTTTCACCCCACATCATATCATATCCTTTATTGATGTTAAAATCCATTTTTATAAATAGTGGGAATAAATTCCTAACTCATCTTAGATAATGATTTAAATCCAATATTATATGTGATCAAATGATTTTTCCAAGGTTTTAAAATGTAAACAGTGCTCAGTTTCAGTGCTCAACAGGTGAAAACATATGTAGGAATATAGGCAGAAACAATTTGCAGACCAACGAAAACAAGATTGTGTTCAAAGAAAGTGAACTAAATGGAACCATTATTTGTAATCATGTTGAATGCAAAATATAGTCAGACAGAATATTTATTTTCAATTAAACAGATAAAATCAATATATCATGCTAATGACCTTTCCAAAAGCTGATCCATAAGTGGAAAATTCGTTGTTAGCTTCAAAAGTGTCAATATCTAATATTTTTCATTATTATGGACCTCTGTTAAACCCATCAATGATAAGTAGACGGTAATGTTGACAGGTCCTCAACGGATGAAAACGTAATATGTAGGAATATATGTTTTATCATTTAAACATATCATTAACAATTGGCGGATCAACGAAAAACAAGATGATGTTAAAAGAAAGTGAACTAAATGGAACCATTATTTTTATCATTTTGAATGCAGGCGATCTTAGTTTCAATTAAACAGATAAAATCAATATGGCATTCTAATATTAATAACCTTTCCAAAAATATCAAAATCTAATATTTTTTATATTTTTTGTGAACCCCTGTTAAACCCCTCGATAATTAATAAATAAGTTTATTGGTCTCTTAAACATCTAATGTACATCAAGATAAAATCAATATGTTATACTAGTAAACTTTCCAAAAGCCGATTAATGACTAGATAATCTGTTGTAAACTATCAAAATCTAATATTTTTTGTTGACCCCTCCCTGTTAAACTTAAACACCTCAATAATAAGTAAACGGTAAAGTCCTCAACAGGTGAAAATGTATGTGATAATACATGTTTTATCATTTACACATATTATTTAACAATTAGCGTATCAACAAAAACAAGATGATGTTAAA